TCTAAGGTTGTGCTGAGTAAATTTGGTTTTATAATGCAACGAACGATGCAAAGCCTGGGTGATTAATTGGTCAGTTCAATTAAATCCGAAGGATCTTACATTATTATTTGAGAAAAATCAAATGACAGGCTATGCTGGTCGGCTAACTAGCGGTATGAAAGCAAGCATCGATGGATTTCTGCAACTTGAAATTTTACGATTTGCTATTTCTAACCAGTCCTACCTATTTTAGGTGCCGACGAAGGTTTTCTCCTCAATTTTTTTTTTATAAAAATATGTCAGAAATACCTAGGTACTAGGTAGGCAGCCAACTGTACTGCGGCGGTGAAGAGCCAAGGCGGAGTTTACTTAGGTATGGAATGAACCGCCCGAGTAGACTACATATATTTCTTCCAACGCCTTTTTAGGTATACCCGCCTCTCATTTTTCGTCTCTTCGTTGGGCATATGACCGAACACGCCGACACGGCCCCTCAATGCTGTAGCGACTCTGATAGTTTGACCTCACGGCCTAGATTGCCGCATCATGCAATCATTGAGTAACAAAATGGGTCTGCTCCATACCGAATAGCTGCTCGCCCGCCTTAGTTGTAAGCTACCGAAGCTAGGCGCCTCAACTAGCCCCCAAACAACGGCATACGCATACAGGCAACTGGGTCTATGTGAAAGATTCTTACAGAGATCCGCCGACGCGGTGCAAACTTTTTCTCGCGAGGAATCCGGTGGAAGGGAATGAAGAGGCTCTTCAAGCATTTCCAGACTAATACTTTAGTCATGGAGCGGGCCGCGGGATCATCTAGCGGTGGGCTCGGCATGTTAGATGCTTTTTTTTACTACTTCGTGCCCCAACGACTCTCTTTCGCTATGATCGCAATTAGACATTTCCTCCGGTTTCCTAGTCGACGCCTTTAAAAGTAAAATTATCAGGGGCGAGCCTTGCTGCAGGATGAATAGTGACCCTATCAGGAGAGACCCGATTACTCAAGTAACTTTGCTCAGGTACCTAGACTGTGTTGCTTAAAACAAATCGTCATTGAGGCTGATTGTTGGCGTAAGAGTATCCTCTATACCCAAACGATCGGATTCGTACCTATCCACCGCCGTAAGGAAAATTTTCTAGTATTGCTCCGGAACCGCAGAATGACACCGCATAAGATGGCGATATATCTCGGCATGATCCAACTAAATTAATGAGTCTCGGTCGATATTTGGGTTGAAAGACACCGTGTAGTATTTACGGCGTAGTATTATTAGTTCTTAGTATTACCTAGTACCTTGCATATCCCGAGAACGTTGAACATTAAACATGGAATATTGAATTGAGAAAGTCATTAAACTTTTTAAGTTACACAATGCTTCGATAGATCATCTAGAAGCTTTGACCCACATTGGGCAATGCTTAATGAAAGCCACGATGAGGCTGATGAATCCGCTAGGGTGGAAACCTTAAACCCTGGGTGGGGACGCACTGGACGCATAAAAACAATCTAATGCAACCCAGATCTCCTTACCCAGCTTATGCAAACCATCATTAATTCATCCAATCACTCAATTATCTCTAATATTCCTCATTTTTATTCCAAGTTGCTATAATAATTCAAATTATCTATTAACATTTTATATCCCTATTAGGTTATTCAGAATATGGCATAATCATCCTAGCATGATGAGAACCATCTTCATCCTCGATTTCATTCCTTTATTAATTGATCGTTTGCTGCAAATGACGAGACGGATAGGTAACCGAGGCTATTCCAAAGTTGGTGGCATTAAAACTTTTCGTTGGTGGAATCTTGACAGATCTCCATTATTACTAGTACATACTTATCCATGGATGTTCTCGTTCAAGGGTCAGCCTCCGTTTTGGTCCTCAAGTATTGATACTACGGAATCCTTTGACAATTACCATTGACCAATAATCGACGATAACGGCTAGATTCGAATTGGTTGCGTATTTCTACCGCGGGGAGATCCCAACGGCGAACACTACCAACTCTCATAAATAACGGAGACAAATTCGCAAAGCACCTGTTAACCTCCCGTCTCTGGAACTGCCGTCGCCCGAGTCTAGCATTAGAGTCTGGGTCGTGTTTCAAAGAAATGGCATCGCTTTCAAATAGCTGACGAAATCTGCCTAATAAGCTGATCCGCGTCCGGCGTGCCAGCGTTACATTCCAACCTCACTATGATCTGATGATGCTACTTGCTGGTAACATAACTGCAAGGTAAGCTACCTAACAACCCTGAGCGCTTACGCGCTACAACGGTTCCACGAGCTGTACTTTTGTTACCCTTACCAAGTCACCATCCCCAGATAGGTACCGTAACACTTCACTATTTTCTTATCAGATGTTAGAAGAAGTGATGGTAGCACCAATCTCGCGGGTATATCTCATTTCTTACTTCGTCTTGTATATAAACAGATCTAACCAGCAAATGATCGAATACTGTTGGTGAGAGTAGCATGGTCTAAATGACCAAAAAAAGAAAGAAACAACGGCAGTTCGAACTAGTGGTCCAAGTTCTATCTACATACACGGCACCTGGGTAGCATGGTTCATGACGAATTCGGAAAAAACGTGCGGGTCAATTGACGACTTTGACATCAAGTTAATACACGCGAGCTTCCTGCGCTTGGACTTTAACAGCTGAGAAGATATCATTCCCAAGCAAAGATTGTAAGCTCTTGGCGGAATCGAAGCATCTGATTGAACCAGCGGCCGACAGGATTCTCTGGCTAGAGATCTCCTTGGCAAGGATGACGCGATGGGTTTAAAAAGAAACGAACGCGCTAGTGTCGGAACGCGTCTAGATCTCATACCGTTCTTCAGTCCGGGGAAGGCCTTGAATCTTGGCCTACCTAGGTCTATCTTTGCAGTAGCCTGGTCCGGCCCCCTCGTGATTCCCTGGTTTACGTTCCAGTTTCGATCATTCGGCGACGCGGATGGCTTCGTCTTGGTCAGACCATCGGGCCACTTTAGTCGACTTTTGAACGCACATCGCTCACTGATATGTTGATAGGGGAAAGCATCACATCATTCCTCAATTAGTACGAATATCTTACAAGTGAGCTGTGTGAGGTAGATATTTTTTTTCGCGCCATCACAGCCCCAAAAAGGATGAAGGCTCGTCCAATTATATCTATCGATGATATTGTTGGCCTCCCACTTCTGCGAGCCATGACTTTAGGTCCTAGACTAACCTTATACGCCCGTTACCTACGTCAAATCACTCGGTAATATCAATCTGTGCGACATCACAAGCCAGGTTACGGAGCTTCCATGATCCTCAGCCTCAAGAATAGACCCATCTTCGGTGTTCGCTTTAGCTATGCGGGGGACCATTCAACACCCCTGAACCAAAAATTCTCTGCTGCATCACGTTGATAGGCGTATTCGGACTGGACGCTACTGTCTACTTCACATAGTTTACGTGAATCATAGACAAAACGTTTCGAGTATATGCGGGTAATGCTCAATACCGCAATTCCCGAACCATACCTACGTAATTGGGACCAGGGACACTCACGGACTAGGATATTACGTACTTATATACTGCATTACTAGGTAGGTAGTTACTACGAAGTAACTGCGGATAGCCTGAGTCGTCTCCTTAAGTATCACAAAGGTCCTGCAAATAGCCATAATAGTCCTGATTGGACCCGATACAGACACAATCTAGATGGCGTGAATCGACGGCGGGGCGCGCGATGACGAGAGAGGTGGTCACTTACCCAGCCCCTCGGAGAGGAAACCATCTTTCATCTCCTCTTTTCCCCTCCTCCCCACGCGTCGGTTTGGCGTTTTTTGTTTTTTTTTTGGCGTCGGCCGCGTAAATGGTGCGGAGAAGCTATGAAGTACTAGGTAATGCGGCTATTTCTGTATGCTAACCATATAATATGTAGGGTACTAGACAGCCAATCTGAATAAGACGAATGAGACGAAATCTAGACCAACACCGTCTAGCCCCGAACATAAAGGCCTAGTCTTAGTGAGAGGACTTCCAGAGTAGTCCGAGGATAGAAAAAAAGGAAAGAAAGTGAGAAGGAAAAAAAAAAAAAAGACTCTTTACGGATCCGTACCGCGCCTATATTATAATTAGGATCTCCATATAAACGCGCCAAGATATTTTTCTTCTTTTCTTTCCGTCTCATTAGATCGGATTTTTCACGGAGATCCTTGGAACAGTTGAGCAAATTCTGTAAGCCATTGATCTTATAGCTGCAAGCCTCTTCACCACTTCGAGCTAATCAGTAGCCGGAACTTTCCCTAGGTATACTATGTACATAGTAAGTTCACTCTGATCGATTGAAGATTTCCTTGTTCCCTCCGAGCTCCGCACCGAATCAAATTCAGCAACCGGAGATGAGCACCTGCGAGGTTCTGGATGAAAATTCTCCGATAGGGTTTTACGAGAACACTATCACATCGGTGAAAGGCCGCCACTTACATATAATATCTACGCCGTGTACGGAATGTTGCAATTCGACAGGGTCTAATTGATTGCAGTCGATCTCATGCAAACAAAATCAAAAATCAGCACTTTGCCAACATAAAGACGGGCCAGAGTGCCACCATCCATCTTTCGTCCTCTGCTCCCCAGTTGCCTACCTAGCAGCCTAGGTATTCAATAGGAGTAGAACCTTGGAAAAGACAGGAAAGACATGATAAAGAGACTCGGAGACAAACGACCTGTGGCGTCATCAGCAGCAGCTGAGACTTTCTCAATTCCCGAGCGCTGAGCTGTCAATCAAACGATTTCGGTTATGCAGATATCACTTACCTGGAAAGGCTACAGGTCGAATTCCACTGTTTCCTCCCGAGCGTCTAATTTCCTCATAGAGCAACCAAGTTCGTTGTATCCGCTATTAATGAGTATCTCGACTGAGGCCGTGGTCATCAATACCCATTCATCTGATACTAGTAGGCCGACCCTCAACAAGAGTTAATGTTGATTTATTTAATCTGTTCTTCTACGTGAAATTTTTTTTTTGAAAGAAAACTATACCCACCCCCTCGATGATGCCAATGGGTCCTGATTTATACTTTGATACCTTGGATTCTCTAATTCAGCTTTAGACAGCAGATCATATCGCCATGCGGGAGTCCAAGATGATTTCCAAACCGAGCCTACTCGTGGTTCCAATATGCACTTCCGCGTTTCCTTGGGTTCATACCATCCTTGATCATTTGGAGAAAGTTCGGTGGCTGATAGCTCACACCTCCCTCGCATCCTCGGCCAGTCTCTATCGACAAAAGTCGTTGCTTGTTTCTCTCTAAAATGATGTTTGAATATCACTTCGTCAGGCGTCTGTGCCCGGCCTTGCAATGCTTCGAAATCTTTTGGAGTATCGACGTATATCTCCGTCTCTGGATCATACCGCGCGAGTGCTGGCATGCGTCTCGACCCCAGCACATCTCTACGATCCTCTCCGAGCCAAAATTCCATCCCTGTTGGCGCTGAGGATATGTAGCAATATTCGAACGGCATCATGCCACTCAGACGATCCGTCCACTTCCCTTTCACCTTTTTCGCATGATCGAGTACGACTGGACAGGGACCTCCGAGTACTCGTTCCTCGTCAGGATATACCGCATCATCCCCTTTTCCTACAATACTTTCACCCTTTTCTGTACAGACCGATACACGAAACTCGAAGAACCTACGTATTATAATCTCGGTTGCCGTTGCAACCTTCAAGACGCCTTGCGCGGCCAACCATCTCAGGTCGATGTCTAGATGTTGAAAGTCGGATACGGGCAAAAGCGGGAAGGTTGCTCCGCTGTCTAAGATGGTTTTGAGGTGAACGGTGGATCGGGGGTTCTTCGGTGGCCTCTCTTTCTCGGGCATCCTTTCGTAAGTTTTCTCATCCTCTCTACTTACTTTCGTCCTGTCAATGGTAAAACTCTGATATACAGGGTAATTTCCTATGTCATACGCTGATGGCGGCCTCGCACGCTTGAGGCATAAGCCCTTCTTTGCCAACACGCCATCATTTCCCTCAGACAGAGGCGGTTCATACCAGAGCCAACCCGGTCCGAACCTTGCGTAGTACCGATCGAGCCTCTCCTTTCTATCTACACAAAAGGACCGATACGTTGGGCACACATCGGCAATATGCCCGGCGTAGATGAGTGTAAAGTTGTCCGAGTACGGTATGTCTCCGGAATGATACCCCTGGATGGCGGCTTGGATGTTGGCCTCTTCGGCTTCGCATTGACAAGTGTCAAGTGCCCAGTTCAACGCTTCTAGACGTTCTCCGATTCGATTCTTCTCCTCTCTCTGATTTCTAAGAGAGCACTATTAGTGTTCCTTTCGAATTCATAGCAAACTTCCCACTGAGAGCAACGTTGCAGGTGACTTACTTGGGCATATTATTCTCTTCGTTGTCTTCCATTTCCGATCTCTCTTTTATCAGCTTGTCGAGAACTTTTTGCTTATGCGCAACTTCATCTGGTGAGTGCTCCTGGTGGTACTTTACAATGTATCGGTGCTGTTCGATCTCACGATCCTTTTCTTCGATATAGCTCAAATTATATCCAAAATCACAACCGATGACTAGAGTCTCCCACGGCTTTAGCTCCTCGATGACCTCGATTTCTGTGCTTTCTATTTTCGCCGGCTCATTTGAGCTTGCTCTTTGTTCTTCAGCTACGGCTGGCAGATTTGAGCCGGTTGCTTCAGAATCTTCATCTTTCTTCTCACGCTGCTCCCGTAATCGATATCTCCGCTGTTGGCGTGCCTTACGTTCATCTTCTGGCATCCTCTGTCTTTCTATTCGTCTACGACGCTGAGATGGTCCAGCCTCGGATTGGTGTTCTGGAGAAGAGCCATGACGACCCCTCTTTGATTGGCCATCTCTAGATGCCATGATCTAGGATCCCTATGATTTTAAAGAATGGCCTGAAATTTTCATAAATTTGAAGCCTTTCTACTGTTTTCCGGACTAAGATTACATGATAGTTACTGCGTTTATCTGTCGATTCCGGTCGATGGGGTTCCCAAAAAAGCTAACCACAACATAATGCCGCAAACGGCAAGTAGCAAATCAATTCAAGCTCCACGCATGTGTCTTATCCTATCCGCTAAGAGCTTATAATGGCATTCTTTGTCGAAATCGGATTTTGGAGAAAGAAAGCCCAAAGCCGCCTTTGGAATGTTGAGGTTTCACCCCCGGTAGCTGATAGATTCCTTGCAGAGAGAGACAAGTACCCAAGCTTCTCCTGGTCTATTCATCGCGAGCGGAAATCTCATGCCTCTGCTTATCCTTTCTTTTTGCTTAGGTATCTACTGTCTGCCGTGGTTTTACCATAGTCCCACTCTAGATACGAACAAAAAAAAACCACCAACGAAACGATCTGACTGGCGATGATTTTTTTCTAGCAAGCTGGAGTTCATTGGATACATCACCGGTGTTTTTGTTAATCGCTCTAGCACTTTGCTTAGATTGCGGAATCACATTAAGGAGCTCTAAATAGTTTGATCTGTTGCGGCTGATCGGACGCGATGGCGGAGTCATCATCTCAACTCGCAGTCCCCCTGGACGCGCATTTTCCGTACGTGCCTAAAGGTCCGGGCGGAAGAGACCCTGCTACGACACTTCCACGTATCTTGAATTTCCTCACCGATGAAGACCAATATAGACACCCGGGCTGGAAGCAGAGGGTGAAGTTGATCAGTAAATATCTCCAGGAAGCGGATGAGGCTCGCAAGGCTGGCGAGCTCGGTTACGATATTCCTAATGTGCGCGCAATGTTGGATGATGCACTCATTATATTGGACGAGCAGCAGAGATCGTATGCTTGGAGTAACGGCCCAACTCCCTGGGCAATGTTGCCGTTATCTGGCCAGCCTAACTCTACGAGACTACCGACTTCCTCAGACCAATTTCTGAAGGCGACTCCGGACAAGTCACGGTATAAGCGTAGGCGAATCGATTATCCGGCTTCCTTCAACGATAAAAATAAATCGCCCAATCGTGTTGTTACATCACCATTTGTTTCCCTGACTAGAGGAGGAACAGGATTGCTCGATTTATTCTTAGCAGACGAGGAGAGCTATTTCGAGAACCCTCAGAATCCTGCATGCTCAGCTCGTGATGGCATCAATTTGTACAAACTCGACAATGATCGGTATGAGCACTGTATGAAGGGTGGGATTAGAGAAACCCTGAAGCGGGCACCGTGGAGACATGCCAAAGACATCCCCGAGGTTCGGGAGTTACCCAACACCCCTAGCTCTCCAGACAAGGTGCCAGATAATCTACAAGAATTATGCCTTGCACGAGGCTGGCAGCGAGCTGCGATCCAACAGTGCCTGAATCTATTCAGCAACCACGAGAACAGAGTGGTCAACACTCCATGGCGTCGGGTGATCCTCCCTTTCAGAGAGCATGTAATGCCCAAGGAGCTCGTCTACTACCCACGAGCGCTCGCTCCGGAGAAAGTTCCTCACTCGCTCAAGGATCCCTACCCTTTTATTCACCAGTACGAAAAATACAACGAGCTCATGAATAACCTAGGCTCTCGGACGCGCCGTCTCTATATCCGCGATCACTTTAACAGTTTTCGGCGGTCTGCCCTACCTAACAACTTCATAGGGCCGTTTATCTACCACGGTCTTTCTGTACATGATGACCACTGGCTTAGAATTGGGTCGTATCTGAAGCGGCTACGCGTCCTTCTGCAGGACGCGTTCGCCATCGCCCCCAGGTCTTTCATGCTGGCTATTCTAAGAGACATCGAAGCTGGAATAGAATCCCGACCTGATTCTGAGACGGCTCCGAAATACATCCGCAACGATGTCATGAGACGCCCTGGTGCTGATGAGGAACACGAGGACGGAGACAGTGGTCCGCCGACGCTTCTGCTTATAGACGAGGCTGATGCTGCCTGGTTGAGATTTTTGTGTGAGCCCTCTACCACACCTCTGATGACCGATCCCAAGAAGCAACCCCAAGATAACCTCACCATCCTATTCGATAGTCGGCTTCAAAGCTTTTTGAACGACCCAAACGTATCAGGTAGCCCAGTAATAACTGGAGAAGGCGATATTTTCGATATAAGTATGGAGACTTGGGAAGGATACCCAGGTGGTCCCCACCCAACCCTCGAGCAGGCATTGGCGTATATAAATGGTGGCGGAGACGTTGACGCGAATGAGACCTACCAGTTCAGTTATGAGGAAGCCATGAGTTACGCTAGGCGGTCTTCGTATCTCGGTCGATGCAGGTAAGTTTGGCCACGTAGAAATATGTTTACCTAAATAACTACTTGTTAACCGGTTAACACAAATTAGACTCCTACCGACAGCGGATGGCGCCGGCTTGCTTGTCATGCGACCTCTTTACGAAATACACCCTGAACATCGCATCGCTTGGCGCCACGATAATATGGAAGCATTCGACGCAAGCCAGGCCTCGTATCAACAAGCTATACTTGACCACCTGGCAGGTGCGTATCCGCTAGACGACCCATACAGTATGGAGGGTCAGTTCGCGCATATCCTTGACCATATCGATGAACCGGACCTCCCGCGGTTGTTGGTGGAAGCAACACAGTCCGGAAACGCCGCACAGGCGACAAGAGATATACTGTCATCACGAATTCATAACGAGTTAGTTCGTGCTCGAGGCTCGTACGAAGAGGGTGGGCGAGGGGTAACACGCCAGGAACCCAGTTGGTCCGATCTCACTAGTTGGGATCAGCTAGGTAGATTGCGACACCGTAAAGGAGCGGCTCTATCAGTGCCAGAGAGGACGGTCCAATTCTATCGCAACCTTGCCTACAGGATGGGCCGCACAATAGCGTACACAAGAGAACTCGAACGCCGGCTTGAGATACCAGCTCCTGGCAACAATGCCGGAGAGAACGGGGGCGAGAACAGGGGCTCATCTAGATGGAAAGCAATCTCAAGAAATGCTTTAACTGAGGACTACCAATTTTGGCGGAAATCTATTCAATATGGCACGGGCGAAATAGAATTCAAACAACCAACGATTTACAGACTCATCGAAAAAGCAGATCCCGACGAGGAATTACAAAACCGGTTCAAGGATAAGCACGAGTGGGATTTGATCAGAGAAGGGATGATTGACGAATGCGTCCTCAATCGCAACACGTTGTATCCGTCCCGCGAGATTGTTCTTGAGGACTCGTCGGGTACATATAAGAGCATCTCGGACTGGAAATCAAACAGAATGTTTCAAGGTGTCAAGCGACCAAGCCTCTGGAAATGGGCTACAGATTCGCAGAGGCGATACCAGGCACCCTTTACCAGATTTGCCTTCTTCTCTATGATGCGCTGGCCTCTTATGCACCAATCTAAAGAATGGAGACAATTCCTTACATCACGACGGGATGAGACCCAAAGAATAAACCCTCGCCTCCCTCAGCAACAATACGGGATCCTCGCGCCTAGACTACCTCCGCAAATAAATCCACAGAATTCCAGCGGTCAGTATCTGAGCACAAAGAATACGACTTCGGATCAAGACACAAAGGGGCCGAGGGGAACAAAGAGGGTACGGACAAGGGGTTCAGAAGAAACAAAGCATGACGGTACTACAAAGCCTTCAGAAGAGACAACTACCCCGAGGCTCCGCGGCGGAATGGAAGAAGAACCATTTCTATCACCATTACTATCACCATCACCATCATCACCATCATCATCATCACCACAACAATTTTACCAACAACAACCTCCTCCTCCTCCTCCCACACACTCCGGAAGTGCAGAGAATATGGGAGCGGTAGCACCACCAAAGACGTCCCAGCCTAAGACGCCCCGGCCTAAGACGCCGGGGCCCAAGACGCCGGGACCCAAGACGCCGGGGCCTAAGACTCCGGCGGCGAAGAGGATAGAGAAACCCACTTTGAAGCCTTTCACCAAACCAAAGTCACGATTCGTACCAGGACCTGCTATATTCCCTATGGCCGAGACACTCCTACAATCAGTTGCTATGAGCAATGAATTAGAAAACGGTAAGTCTTCACGAAACATATAGTGATCTGTCTAGGGCATTGCCTAGTTAGCTAACCAGTTCTTAACAGTGTTATATCCGCCGCCAAAGCTCAACTTCCTCCAGAAGATCGTCAAATTATACAACCAGTTGACAGAGGTCCCGGACCGTCGAATCCCCTTACTGCCGCCACTGACAGAGTATCAAGTGCCTCGTAGCAATCCTAGGAAGCGTAAGATCCCGGCTCATCAGATCATCCAACCGGCAAAGAGACAAAGAACCACTGGCCAGCCTGAGAAATCTGGTCTCACCCCCTTTGGTCCTTCCGACCCTGCTGGCAAGGGAGGGAAGTCAGTCACGTGGTCCGAAGATCTTACACCGGGCACAGGATTAGATCCTTCCATTAAGGTGGGCCAGGACCCGTTCTCGTACCTTCAAAGAGTCAGACAACTCGAAATACGACTAGCCGAGACGGAAGAAAGACTAAGGCTAGAATCGGAGAGGGCAAACCGCGCAGGAGGGCAGGTACCAGTCAGGCAGCGGACCCAGGGGCCAACCCAGAGGCCAACACAGAGGCCAACGCAGGGTCCAACCCAAGGGCCAACGCAGGGGCCAACCCAAGGTCCAACCCAAAGGCCAACTCAAGGTCCGACCCAGGGACCAACGCAGGGGCCAACTCAGGGACCAACCCAAGGACAAACCCAAGGACAAACCGGAGAACAAGCCGGAGGGCAAGCCGGAAAGCAGGCACAACAAACACCGCGCCAGACGAGACCGCAGCCACAGGCGGCCAACCATATAATCCGTGGTGACTTCCCGACGGGATGGACCGTCTTCGGCGCCTTCGAAGCCGGCCGCTGGGGTGCCTTCCGAGCCATCTCGGAAAGTCTAAAGGCTCAGTGGGCAATCGGAGGCTATGACGAACGCGATTGGTTACCGACGGCGGTCCAGCTGAACAACGCGTTCGCTGATACGAACCGTCCCAGCTGGGGAGAGCCGGATGCGGCGAACATCCTGCGGAACCAGGCCAACGACATCAACTCGGCCTTGCAGTACTACACGCAAGAAGGCTCCGGATACCCCGGCGCCGGTCAAACTATCCAGCTCGGTATCGTTTTCGAGAATAGAACGGCTATTCTCATGCCGTCGATCCACGGAACCGGGCCTGACATCTTCCGCGTCTGGATCTTCCAGGGAGGCGATGGCCAATGGCAGGCTATCCAGTCTCGATATGCCATCCCTACGCATGGCCGCTGGTAGATGCGCTTGTAGATGAAGGAAGAAAGAAAAAAGTCCCGTCGCTGCAGTATAGACTTCATCGCGTAGTTCACCCCTGTCCTCGTCCCGAGTAGGCTTATGATAGGCATGCTGGTCATACATTTTGGCACATTGTTTTGTTTTGTTTTGTTTTTTTTCTTTTGTATTGGAGTAAGTAGTTTGCACCTCGCTACTTCATTCTTCCGTTCGTTCTGGATTATTTGTTTTGAAATTTTCTTTTGTAGATGGGGCATCTTGATTTCTCCGAGATCGACGGCGGTCTCGCGGTTAGAAGAGGCCTCGTTAATCTGTACGCTAGATTTTAATAAAAGAGGTAGTTATGTTTTTTGTTTTAACACAATGCTTAAGATAAGAAGACTATGACTGTCTTTACGTGACCCTTACACGATCTTAATAATCAACTTCCCAATACCCCCTTTTCCCGTAGCTACCTTCTGCGCCTCCCTCCTCACCACATCAATATCCTCTAACTCGACAACCCTCTTCACAGCCTTCACCTTTCCCATCGCCACGATTTCCCCCGCGCGTTCGAGATCCTCTCTCGCCCCAATATTCCCCGAGTGAAACTCATGTTTAACATTCGTACCCCTAAGCTTCCACGCATAGTACCACTGCGCCACCGCCGCAAACCAATACACGAAAAACGGCAACGGGGGCAACATCCCGGGTCCCTGGTCCCCACCCCTCAACAATCCCGGACTCGGCACACTCGCAATCGACGCCACAACCCCAACATTCCTCTTCACCAACGGAAACGTCTTCTGCACGCCCCACTGCGTGTTATACACCAAATCGACGCTTCCGGCGGGAATAGCGTCTGCCAGGTTTCTACACTTCGTGTAATCCACAACCTGGTCAACCAAACCCGGGAGATACTCCTCCACGAGCGGCACCTTCGCCGTGCTCACCGTCGTAATCAGCTTCCCCACCCCGTACACATTCTTCAACACCTGGATCGCCGCCGACCCCGTCGCGCTTAGCCCGCCCGGTACGAAAACAGTTTTCCCTTCGAGTCCGTCGACGACCCCGTTGTCGCGCATGTGTCGTAGCCCCATGTCGATGGTCTGGATTGCCGTGACTACGTTTGCGAGATTACACACGTCGACGAAGTCCGTTGTGGCTGGTTTGTGCAGCACGAGGGCCTCGCGCGCGACGCAGTATTCCGAGCAGAAGCCGGGCGCTGCGAGCATGTTCATGGGTCGGCTTAGCCCGAACGCGTACACGGCGTCGCCGGGTTTGAAGTTCGTCACGCCGGTCCCGATTTTTACGACTACGCCGGCGGCTTCGATGCCGATTTTGTGAGGCATTCTAGATTAGGGTGGTGGTTAGTTTTGGTGATCTCTCTGTCTCCTTTTTTGACCCTTTTACTTCAGGGGTATTGATAGATGAGTAGGTAGGTAGGGAACTGTAACAAAAAGTAACTAATGGTAGACACGAACTTGAGATCTCCGATTAAATACTTCGTCCCCCCTCTTGCGACCTGCGTGTCACCCGTCGAGATACCGGCGGCGTAAACTTTGATCAACATTTCCTTGGGGTCGTCGATCGTTGGGACTGGCATGTCGGTGACTTCCCACTCAGTCGGAAAACCGTACTTTGGTGCTACGAGGGAGCGCATCGTATCTGGTAATGCTGTCATATTTCCGCCTTTATCTTGCTTTCTAAGTATCTTTTTGTCGACCTCTTTTCCCTTGGTAGATTTTGATATAATGTAGTGTCAACTAAAGAGAGACGCATAAACGTATCGTCACGTACCTTATATACGTATGTAGGCAGCCTGGACGGAGCCGGATCCTTACACTCGGTGGTCTTCGGCGATGACCCCACCGAACCCGCCGAACGCTCCGCCGAATTGAATCCATACTAGGTAGGTACGCTTGATTTGTAACAGCATGTTCTAGAATATCACATATTTTAATATTATTATTTTTTTCGATATTATTAGGTATATTTTAATCTACCATAGAACTCGTTCTCTGATGATAAGAGAGAGGTTGTTATTTGAATAAATGCTCGTTATGCAAGTCAGTACCTAGGTAGGTACCTAGCAGGTATTGAAGTATACTAGAATCATGAGGAACTATATCCATTATAATCGAGTTTTCATTGCCATAACATCATGCACCTAAAGTACCTATGCTACCTGTATTCGTAACTGCTGGTATCAAACTTGGAAGAAACCCAGCAGTCGGCCGCAGGTAACCAAGAATCTCACGTAGAACGAAGTTGGGATTCAATACCCTTTGCCGACCGGTTCCCAATTCCACCGACACATATCTTTCATAAACCCTTAAACGCAGCAATACGAGTAACACCGATTCCTCGCAGAACACCGTTTGAGTCCCCTTCCCGTGAACCGCGTGTCCTACCCTCCTCGCTCCATTATATATCTCTTTGTCTCCTATGTCCATCCTATGGTACCACATCTCCACGTAAGTCTTCTGCAACGCGCAAATCCTGTGACTTATTGGGTCCGGTAGAACTTCTTGTACAGCAGGTGCAGCAGAAGGTTGACGTTGAGTTTCAAGTTGCCCTCGAACACGTTCATGAACTGGTGCGACTCGAACTGCGCTTGTAGAAGATCCTCGATCGGTATAAGGGCGCTCGCACCCGGAATCTGGATGTGCCCGCGGCTGCCTTCCATGTTGAACACGCCCACCTCGTCACACGAGATCGTGAGGTTGATATTGCTCCAATCCCGCTCCGACACGCCTTGCCATGCCACAACGACACCCTTCTCCGCGAGAGCCCGCACGCTGTACTTGTACGAGCCAAACTTGGGAACTCGGCCGGAACGCTCAAGCTCTCGCTGGTGGTTGTATTGCTTGGTAAACGGGAGAAGGAATCGCTTTTTCCTGTTTCAATCTTGTTAGCTTTGAGTCGTACTAGACCGTTTGCGGTTATCTTACCCTTTGTTCTTCTGCAGCGTAGCCATAGCCTGCTCGATGTAGTCGTCGTAGCTCTTGCGCTGCTGTTCCAGGTACTTGGCCTTCTCGTGCAGATTTCCGAGGGTCAGTCGCACCCCTTCCAACTCTCGCTGCCGTTGTATCCTACGGCGGCTCTTTGTGCGGATGTCGAGTGCGATAGCGTTCAAGATGTCCTGGTAGTAATTCTTCTTCGTAATCCGCCCCATATGTTCCAGGTGCATGATATTCTCCAGAGCATTGCGCTTCATGTCGTAGTATGACATCCGTGTTACGTCGACCATGTTCACGTCCGAGTACGCTCCCTTCGTATTGTTGCTAGATGAAAAGTCGTCTCGTAGAAGCGTTTGCCATTTTATCTCGTCTTCTTGGGTGGGTGGGCGGACGAGAATTTGAAGAAGATCGGCGCCCGTCTGTACACGAATAATGTACAAGATGCAGCGCTTGGTCTCCATAAATAGAGCTTTGACGTCGGCTTCCGGATCTTCGACATCATGAAGCTTCGGGGTGAGGAACATCTGTATATCGGACGAGCTAGCTGCGTTCATTTCATTCTCGTTGCTCTTCGCGCTTCCTAGATCTTGTAAGATCTCGCGAAGTACGTCATCGCGGTTAGGGCAGACCGAAGACATCTCGTTTACGACAAGGGAATGGATGGCGAAGATATCCGTCATCTTGATGTAAAGAGTCGGCCTGTTCTTGGCGTAGAGGTCGTTGAATTCATCAATGTCGAACGTGCTCTCAGCATCGGCAACGGAGATCAGGTTAGTTGTAATATGGTTAAGTCGCTCCATCGAGTCCGCTACGAAGGCATTGAGAGGTTGTAAGTAGATGTTCTCGCCGCCGAACGGACGTCCGGACGAGATTTGACCGAGAACCTTGGCGACCTCGCCTAGGTTGCGCTTTTGGAGAGGGCTCAGAGTCTTCTCAATGACACCCACCTGTTCGGGATTGACTAATGCTGGCTGGAGATAGAACCGCCAGACCCAGTTTCCGACGATTTGGAGGATGTGGTGCTGAGGCTCACGCTGGAAACGTTGGCATAGCGCCTCAAACATTTGTTGGCAGATAAACCGTAGACCGTAGGGCATCCGGGGTAGCAAGTCTTCTAAAGCGAGGAAGAACTGGTCCGAGATCTCTCTGAGGTCTCTGAGATGGTCGATGAATAATTCGCGTGTCTCCGGGTCTTTTATCGCCAGATCTCGGGAAATGTCGAGTGGTCTCCGGCTTGGGTGTCCAGTGCGAAGCTCTTCGTTATTTATAGCAGATCGGTAGATTTGCATTGGGTCGCTCTCTAGATCTAAGGCTGGATCCTCGATGATGTTGTCCCGTATTAATGGGCCAAGTAGATCCCGAAGATACTTCCTATCTCGTGGCGATCGAGAATAGTGGCCCAGAAGCTTGGACCAGAAAAAGTTACCACGAAGATACTCTTGGATAGAAGTGCAAGCATCAACCTCTTCTCGTATCGACCTTGTGATGAGCTTCAGCAAGTAGTATTCTTCTCTTCTCTTTTGTGCATACCCAAAGAGCCCCATCATAAGAAGCTCGATGCGCTTGCATTCCTTTTCGGCTGTACCCAATTCTCGGAATCTTCTGAAGAGTCGTGCTAGATACTGTGGTTGGGTTTGAAGGTTGAAGAATAGTTGTTGGTAGGATTCTAACTTCTTTCTCGAGCTCTTGTTTAAGGCCTTCAAATCGAACTGGTTGGCGGATGCAATAGAAGCATTGGCTAAAAGATTGCTAGTGTGTCCGCCGAAGGTATTCTGATGCCGGACGACTTCATCAAGTGTAATCTTGTTCTTCACCAGAAGAGCAATCTTGATATCCAATTGATCAATGTACTGCTCAAGCATTTCATTCTGCCTGACTTGCTGGACAACCGTCTTTCGTAATCTCTCAAACTCGACCTCCTCATTGAAGTCGAAGTCGCTATCGTTGAGCAAATGGACAAAGTTCTTCACAGCTCCAACAGGAGGGTTTTTTCCAGTCGTGAGACTTTTGTATGCTTCACCCTGAAGCTTGCCGCGGACGAAACTTTGGATCTTGACCACCTTCTGCATATTTTCTTCGAAATGCCTCTTCTTCTCTGCGAATTTCTGTCGGACGATAAAACCTCTAGCGAAGGCTTGCAGCTCAACTACAGACTCTTCATACTCGTCGAGTTCACCTAGCAACATGCCCACATCGTTACGGAGGAGCATGGCCCGAGCGAGCGCCTGCAGTTCGATAACTTCATTTTCGTGGGACTTAAGCTCGTCAAGGAGCAAACAGTGTTGTTCCCTGGATAGATAACCACGAATCTTGGCCTGGAGATCTACAATGCTTGCCGTGTTGCTTTCTAGAGAGTCAAGATCGGTAGCGATGCGTTGTCGTTCAAGCATACCTCGGACTAGCGACTGAAGTTCGATTATTGAAGGTTCATTTTCATTCAAAGCATCAAGCTTGTCGGTGATATCCCGACGTACAGCTGCAGCTCGGATATGAGATTGTAATGTCCCGATGTCGGGGGTATGTTGCGCGAGCTCAGCTTTGGTTGTTTGAACGTTCTGTCGTAGCAAATTTCCACGGCAGAATGCTTGAATTGACTCCCACTTGGGTCCGAAGCTTGCGAGCGCCTCTTGTTGCTGATGAATCTGGTTTCTTGTTAGCATGGCCCTGGCAGCAGCCTGTAAGCCCGTAATCGCCTCGGCCTCCTCTCCAAGGAGGTGAAGGTCTTGTCCAACTCTTTCTCTTGCCAGCATGCCTCGTATCGCGGACTGAAGCTCCAATACGGGACCAGTCATGCGACTAGTCTCCTGCTGCTGGACATTGAATTTTTCGCGCGCCAGATAGCCTCGGAACACAGCCTGAATACTTCGCACAGGTCCATCCGCTCGTGATAACTGAGATCGAGTTTCTCGTACCTCGTCACGGGCTTTCATAGCCCGTATTAAACTCTGGAGTTTTGTGATATCTTTCTCCTTGCTCTTCCAGAAATTCTCCCTATTTGCCATCCTACTTCGGACCAAAAATCCGCGGGCGGCGCTCTGGAGGTTGACGGCGAACTTTCGCATCTCAAGTCTATAACCCATAACTTGACGAGTGAAATCTCCGCGAATGCGCGCCTGGAGATCGACGAGCCAATCCTCCGAGTCCCAAAGATGCTGCATGATGTTGCCAAGTTTCATTCGGAGTATAGCGCCTCGCATCTGAGCTTGAAGCTCGAGGACAGCGGCTTCGTTCTCGGACAGCTCACGATCAATCCGTTCCTCTTCGGTCTCCTCAGGTTCAGGTTCCGGTTCCACGCCAAAATCGGCACCCATGTTTCCGAAGGTGGGCATGTTGATGCCAAGCTTATCCAACCCCTTCTGCATAGCTTCGAGTTCGTGGTGCTCAAACTCTAACTGTCCAACTAGATTGCCTATCCTGAAGTCTACTATGCCTTTCCGGAATAGAAGCCAGCTCAGCGCATGTATGCAGTATATAACCTTGGGAATGTTCTTCTTCTCGTAGAGATCAATAAGCTCGAATCGGAAGAGATCAGGCAGCTCGACTTGGTCCAGGTATCTGAAGAAAGTAGCAACGTTATCCCAGTGGCGGGCTTGGAGTCGTGGATTTCGGAAGATTCGAGGTCGTCGACTTGGATTTAAGGCCTCCACCACCTCGGCTAGAGTAACGCCGTCTCTCAGCGCCTCTTCTAGTTCAACAATCGGCGGGATCTGCTGATGAATGACATCTTCGATCCATTCCTTGGCTTCACCAATGTGACATAGATACTCGTACGCCTGGAGAAATTGTCTCTGTTTGTCCATCCAATTCCGTCCTTCAAAGCCATAGCGATCGCCGCGCTGGCCATTCCTAGAGCCAGTCGCATTGCCCGCTCGTTGTAATCTCCGTCGACCACGTAGACCAACCACCTCTTGGGCTGGGGAAGTGATGGCAAACTCCTCGGCTGAGCTATCTTGAGCCAACTTGGATAAAGTGCGCAGTTGGTTGGTGGAAGAGCGACCCATCTGCTGTAAGTCAGGGGCAGCAAGGGTGGGATGATGGACCATAGCGTGGGGAGAGATCAGAGTGGGACTGGATGCACTTGGGCGAAAGGAATCGGATCGTGTGAGCACCATCGAGGTAGGCCGGGCATTTGGAGATTTGCTCAGAGGACTCGTAGGAGTAGGAGAAGGAGAAGGAGAAGTTCTCTCTTCAGAAATAGAAAGTCTGCCTATATCAAGGCTCTGTCCGCGGTCACGGTCATGGCGTTCGCGACGTGGTGGCGTTTTGTCTGGGGCTGGTCCCGAAGCAGGTGGCGGGGGGAGGGGACGTAAAGATTGCCGGGCCAAGTTGTACATATTTTCGGAATTCGCCTTGGGTTCATCATATACACTCGATCGTCGAGGAGGAGGAGGGGGCTGACGAATTACAGCTTCACTTTTACCACGTTTATGCGCCAATGTTGATGCGCCGTACCCATTCGAAGTCACTGAAGAGGTTGCGCTGGGTGGGCCGAAGTCATAGGAATCTGAATTGAAAGAATTGCTGGAATAGCCAGAAGAAGCAGAAGATGTGGTGGATAGTTGACGATTGACAGAGCCGGCAGTTGTGTAGTCAACAGTATATGACTGACGTAGGGGGTGAGGCTTGTACGACATTTCGAACAATGGGACCTATATGAGATGATGAGGATGCTCTTCGTCAAGTTGAGTGATGTCGCCGTCTGCTATTGAAGTCTGCATCACAGCTGCCCGAGCTGAGGTATATATCGAAAAGTGTCTAATTGTCCAAGTGTCTCAAATCGCACTGTACTGATGTACTCGTGTATTAGTGTATTCGTGTGTTCGTGTACTCGAGAGGTTTGTTTGTATTATTGCAAACGGTGTGGGCGATACCAAGTAGGCGGTGACCTGAATCGTCGGCGATTATTCCCATCCAGCCTTACCCAATCCTATTCATTCAATGTGAAGAATTGTAATATGAACGATGGTCGAAGGTAAAGAAGGGTTGAAGGTTGAAAGTCGAAGGTGGAAGTTGGTAGAAAATAATCAAATGGATGTCAACAAGAAAACATGTCTTGAAAACGTAACACAATATTCGTATTGGTGGCACGGATCCTTAGAAAGAAAAAGTGCGCGCTCTCAGCGCACTCATACGAATTAAAAGCAACCTCTCTATAATAAAGGAATGGGGAATGGAAGTTGTCGCCGTTGATGTTATCGGAAAAGGTTAATGTTGGAAGATAACATTCGTGTTTGTAACTGTAACGGTCAGAAATAAAGGTTGGCCAGGTTCAGCCTTATTTCTTTGATTGTTCTTTTTCTGTTTCTTTGGGAAGTGACGGAGCTGAGGGAACTCAAAACCGACCGATAGTTATCCTGTTTTCGGAAGTTTGTTTATTTATTTGGGTGGGGAGCAACCGGTACCCGAGCGGCATTGATCTTGCCCCTCACTAATCAATCACACTGTCACCACCGCCACAGTGAAACCTTGGAACTATCCTTGTACTCTCTCACCTGGAAGCCTAGACACAAAAGTCAAGCCACACGGGCCACAGCAACCAAAAGAAAACCAAACTAAAAAAAACTCACTTAGTGCGCTAAGCAGGACAAGCTAAGATAGAGTTTCTTAAAGTCCCTACCATTGGCTCTACAAAATGTTAAATTGGTCTAGTGTTAGTAAGGGACATACATTTTAATATTGAATTGCTTGGAGTATTAGGTCATGCATTAACAGAAATTGCCCCGCATAGTTTAATCTCTGCAGGGTCCCCGCAGGTGAACACAAAAAATTTTGGTGATCGTGGCTACGAACTTTTTTTCTTTCCTTCTTTTATTCGGGAAGAAGAACACTACATAACTCGTCGACAGGTCAATTCTATTTCTCGGCGCTTTCTTCGACCTCAACTCCTTTGGCTATTAGTTATTGGCTATTTACTTAGCATAATTCCTTATTGAACAAGTCAAAATGCCGTCTCTCAACGGATCTACTGCCGTCAATGGTAGCACCAAGTTCCTTGACTACAAATCTGCAGTTGAGACACTGAACGGATATCCTTCTCGTGATGGCCTTGGTATTGAGGATCTCATTGATACTAAGCAGCGTGGTGGCTTAACGTACAATGATTTTCTGATCCTGCCTGGCTACATTGGCTTTCCCGCCTCTGAAGTTGCGCTTGATGCGCCCATTACCAAGAGAATCACATTGAAGACACCCTTTGTCTCTTCGCCTATGGACACAGTCACTGAGCATGAGATGGCAATTCACATGGCTCTTCAGGGTGGTCTTGGTGTCATTCATCACAACTGCTCACCAGATGCCCAGGCCGACATGGTCCGCAAAGTTAAGCGATACGAGAACGGCTTTATTGTCGATCCCGTCGTTATTAGCAAGGGGACCACCGTCGAAGAAGCCAAGGCACTCAAGGAGAAATGGGGATTTGGTGGTTTCCCTGTGACTGGTAAGTTGATTATATCTTTAACATTTATTATTTCTTTCTTGTCTGGTCTCGTTCACTTTATCCTCCATTGGACCGGCCCAGAAGAAGAAAAAAGAAAGAAAAACTTCACATGATTACAAACCTAATTTTATAACTTTCGTTCCACCGTATAGACAGCAATGTCATGGGGATTCAATTATGCTCTTTATGATGATGTATATTCTACGAAAATTTCAAGTATTTATTTCTGGATTTAGGCCTTTGCTGACCAACAATCCATAGAATCCGGCAAGCTTGGCTCTAAGCTTCTCGGCATTGTCACGAATCGCGATCTCCAATTCGAGGATGATCTCAGGCAGACTGTCGACAAAGTCATGGTTACCGAACTAGTCACTGCTCAGCTAGGCGTTACTCTTCCCGAGGCAAATAAGATTCTTGCCAAGTCGAGAAAGGGAAAGTTACCCATCGTCGACAAAGACTTCAACCTTGTCTCCATGATTTCCCGCTCCGACTTGACCAAGAACCTACACTTCCCACTCGCATCTAAGCTCCCCGACTCCAAGCAACTCATTTGCGCTGCTGCGATCGGTACGCGACCAGAGGACAAGATCCGCCTAAAGAAACTCGTTGATGCAGGACTTGACATTGTCATCCTAGACAGTAGTCAGGGTAACAGCATGTTCCAGATCGACATGGTCAAATGGATCAAAAATGAGTATCCCGGCCTCGATGTCATCGGCGGAAACGTGGTGACTCGAGAGCAGGCTGCGAACCTCATTGCTGCTGGTGTCGATGGATTGAGAATTGGCATGGGTAGCGGTAGCGCTTGTATCACTCAGGAAGTCATGGCTGTCGGTCGTCCTCAAGCAGCTGCCGTTTACTCCGTTTCCGCTTTTGCTGCCAAATTTGGTGTGCCGTGTATCGCCGACGGCGGTGTCCAGAACGTCGGTCATATTGTCAAGGGTCTCTCCCTTGGCGCATCTACCGTCATGATGGGCGGCTTACTTGCGGGTACTACCGAGTCCCCGGGCACATCATTTGTGTCGCGGGAAGGCAAGCTCGTTAAAGCATACCGTGGTATGGGTAGTATCGACGCGATGCAAGACAAGAAGGCGGGTGCTGGTAGCAAGAACAGCCAGGCTAGCAACGCCGGTACTGCCCGGTACTTCAGTGAAGGAGACAGTGTTCTTGTCGCCCAAGGTGTGTCTGGTGCTGTGGCGCACCGTGGATCCGTCGGCAAGTTTGTTCCTTATCTAGCTGCGGGTCTCAAGCACTCGATGCAGGATTGCGGTATGCGAAGCTTGGAAGAGCTTCACGAGTGCGCGGCTAACGGAACACTCCGGTTTGAGGTTCGCACTGCGAGCGCGCAGCTGGAGGGTGGTGTGAACATGGAGAGCTATGAGAAGAAACTCTACGCTTAGTAGGCTTTGGTCAGCAAGCTAGGCTATTGGATCAGTTTGGACAATAAACAAATCTGAGCGGATGGCAATGGGCTATACAAGGAGTGATGGGTCGGAATCGGTTAGGACATAATGAATCTCTCAGATAGTCCTTGGTGCGGAAAACCAAAAACTAAAAGTGATACCTCTTGATAGCTTTTTATGCTTGATGATGAGCAAAGTGGCTTCGTCCCACTCATAGGCGTTTTGCGGCTCAGCAGGGGGCAGGTCATGTCGGGATAGGCGGGAGCAATCTTGGGATGGAGGGAGTTCATGTCACATTTTCACGGGCGTACGAGACATAAAAATGGGATTGATCAGTGGCGATGAATACAAAAAGCATTTGAATCATGATTTTTGAACATATATGTTTATTTGTCGGTGTATTGGCGATGATGAATTCCAATCTTCTATCAACCTTAAACCGAGAAATAGGATCTGCTTTACTTCTTCCAAGTTTAATGCAACCCCCCAAGCCCATTTTCTAGATCCGTAACGCCACCCATGATAATAATGGTGATGATGTAACCACTTGCATGTATCGTTATTTGATCACCCTCAATGAAGACCATCGCCTAGCCGTCCCCTCAATGATCTCATCGTGAGAACATTAGGTAGTTACTAGTATTAAGACGACCACCATAGCCCCCACACTCAGTTAACTGTAGCCGGGCTTCTCCTGGTCTCTACAGCCCCATAGCCATTACTATTCCTCGAACCCTCCGAAGATGGTGATTCTTGCCCCTGCGACTGCTCCAACACAACAATCGTGCTAGTCTGACTGCTCTCAAACCCATCATCCTCGTAATCTTCCGCAATCTCATCATCAACCTCTCCCTCTTCATCTTCGTCATCACTATCAACAGGCGTAACAGCCCCACTCGGCCCGTCTCCCTCGACAACCATATATGCGGGCACAGCACCTAACGTCGCAATACACGCCAACAGCCACCACGGCATACCGATAACATCATGTTTAACACCCCACGTGAACACCGACCCCGTAAGCGCAGGTCCGGTAGCTCGTCCCAGCGCACTAAACGTGGTCGCGAAGCCGTTCAGGGTGCCCAGAATACTCAAGCTCGGCGCGCTATTCGTTAGTAATATCGTGGTACACGGGAACCCGACGATGACGGCGAAGGTCTTGATCATGAGAATCAGACCTAGCGCGGCGTACCGCAGCATCGCGGGCTCGATGAGCACAACGAAGGGCGTGAGGACGTACACGACCGGGAAGACGACGACGCATGCCTTGAAGCAGCGCAGAACGCCGAACCGCTTGCAGAGGAGCGGGAAGACTAGGAATTGAACGAATCCCGATAGTACGCCTTCGGCGGCGAAGATGGCGCCGATGTGTGCGTGGTTGAGTCCAAAGCCGCCGCTGAAGCGGAAGGGGAAGGTGGTGTTTTCCGGGGTGTGCTCTTGGGGCGGGTAGTTGAGGAAAACGGGGAGGACTTGGTCGTAGGCGACGGCGTGGAGCGCGAGGAAGGTGTATGAGATGAGGTTAGTGGTGGTTTGGCGGCTGAACACTGCGCTAATTGGGAGGGGCTTGGGTTTTTCGATTCGCGTTTCGACGACGGTGGCTCGCGCGGTCTTCGAAGGGGCGGCTCCGCTAAGTAGTGGTGCAGTTACCTCATCGTCTTGAAGGGAGTATCGGCGGAGACGCTGGGCTCGTCGTCTGGGAGAGTGCTCGCGGAAGGCTTCCTTGATACGTTCACCAAGGACGAGACCCCAGTCGCGGGAGTGACGCTTGCTCTGAAGGGTCTCCTTCAAGAAGAGCATAGCCGTCGAGAGAGAGATCAGGAAGAAGATGGAGCCTATCATGTTAGGGAAGGCGAACGGGTATTTCTTGAAAAATGTGTTGTTGCCAAAGACTCCCGGCCATTGCTCTGCGGGTTTAGCGAATAGACCGCCGAATGCTGGACCGAATACAGATCCGACACTCCAGACTAGTGGCATGACGGAGAAGGCCTTCGGCTGGAGTTCTTTCTCTGTTACCATCTCCGCAACCATCGTTCGAATAATACCAACTTTCAAATAATCAGTCTCAGAGGCTTTCAAAGTAGTCCAGCCTCAAATACATACCGTTTCCGTTACCAGCTCCCATCATAGCACGCACGGCGATGGCCATCGGTAAACTCGTCGAGACACCCCACACCATAAAGCAGATCATCGTACATAGGAGACCGGTCATAATAGTTGGTTTCCTTCCAAATCTATCAGAAGCCCTACCCCAAAATATAGCGGTCAAGCTCTGGGCAAGCGAAAAGACAGAACTTGTGATGCCAGCCCATTTCGCGACTTCCTTTCTTTCAACACCGAAACTGGAGATCATCTCTGGTAGGTATGGGAAGACAGACGTGTAAGAGAGAGGCTCGGCAAATCTCGCGACAGCTAAAAGGAAAATTAGCTTAAGGTACGATAATGGGGTGGAATACCTGGTATATCTCCATCACCATGCCAGCCTTGATATAGCCTCTTCTAGACGCCTACTTCAACTATAATATGATCATTCACTTTGATGTGACGCCCTTGACGTCAGGTTCAACGAGTCATACAATGAACAAGTGACAAAATATGATGAATTCTAGTCTCTTCAAGACTCGGGTCCATTCCACATGCAAGAACCAGTAGTATATTGAACACGATATGTATGATGAGTCGTTTGAAACGGCCGTCCAATTACAATCACATCCTTCAAGTATACTGATATCGTACATCTATCCAGGGAAATCATGGCGTGAAATATTCATTAAACAGAGAGGAAACTGAGCTAGTAAGCAAAAGAGAGGTATGAAGCTCACCCAATATGGCCAATTGCTGGGCCGGCAATTTCGGTACATGGTTCTTAGGCGTCATTGTTGTCGATAAGATCAAAGAGCAGGTCGAAATGAAGGGTCAAGGAGGAATTTAGAGAAACGTAGATAGATAGCTCGTGTGTCTGGGCTCGTGAAGGTTGTGAAGGCCGTATACCCAGTCCAAACAAAAAGAACAAAAGCCAAATTCAAGATACAGCTATTACACCGAAACGGCGTATATATGTCTGAGACTGGCAAGGACTGTCTATGGCCAAAGGGAAGGACTATCAAGCAGGAAATGATAGTACCTAACGATTGTCCTACCAAGACGTTGTCCAACCAAGACGAAATAGAGAAGTTGGGAACAATTTCTTGTGAACTGGCGGGGAAACAAAATGATTATAAACAACGAAGGACGTCGAAAAATACTACGTGACGACACCCATATATCGTACCGAACATGTCTAGGCCCCGGGTTCATCGACGTGCCTGTCACCTTGCGCAAACCCTCCTTGCTACATGTGTGTAGGTATGTACCACAATATGCAAGTTCTGTGGACTAAGCCGAAGATAGCAGTAGGCCGGCTCTGAGAACGGATGGCCCGCCGTGTAGGTCGCTTCTGATTTGCGGCTTACCGCACCCAGACTCCCGCGTCTCTATCCAAGCGCGGTAGGAGTGGACCAGGCTGCCAGGCTATGTCTTTAAAGAGTTACAGCGGTAAGGCGTGATGCACGCAAATTTTTTTTACTCTTCCTTTTTTTCGACGATGAACTGGAACTTTGTCTCGTAATGGACTATCATCTTGATGACCCGCCCTCAGCTAGGAGGACAACGAATCGGATAGCGATAGAGAAGCAGAGTGGCTCCCGATACTGTTGCATGTTGCATGTTGTGCTGCAGCGACGGATTTTTCCAGTGAAACCCCAGATGGTACCTAATCAGCCCGAGTGCTCTCGAACAGGTGAGTCAAGGTGTGTCGGTAGAATAATGATGCAGGAGGGCGTTAGGAGGACATTAGGAAACCTTGCAAAAGTTATAAATGTCCGGTGTCGGACATCGTGGGACAGATATTCGTAGGTGTATTGGAAATTAGTTTGATGAGAGAAGGGCGAAATGGAAAGTCACACGCCAACGTCCAGCCTCCTGATCATGCAGAGACAAGGAAGAAGTTGAAGGGGTGATCTACGCTTGCTCGGATGCGGGATGGTCGTACTGCAGCAAGGCTTAAACATACCCCGTTCTTCTTAGAAATACGGAGATATGATTGGTTAGTATCTGCTCCTCCTCTGCTTCCTCTGTCTCCTCCGGCGTATGCCCCGCATGTCTATCGCCGAAATGGGCATAGACCCAGACCCCACTGTGCTTAAGCTCCCTTGAAGTGCGTGATGCGGCTTTCAAACAAGCTTACAGATCTTCTATATCCGTATCAAGTTTTTAATACATAGTCAGATAGTATGGGTAGGAAATCCTTACTTGAATTGTAATTGGTCCTGTTCAGGTGAGACATGTCTCTACTACCTAGTAACGTTGAGTCGTTGACGAAATCCGATGTAAGACAGCATCGCTTGGAAATTCGACATATCATTATTTCTTCTTTCGAGAATCCGTAGGGTGGCTGGGTGGGTAGTAAGTATATGGAAGTATGTAGATGTGTTTTAATGTGGAATCCAGTTACGCTTGATAAGGTCAATTGACAGTTATTCCAAAAAGAGTAGGTCGAATAGTTAAGCCAGGCAGCCACAATCAATTCTCGGGTTTAGCCACACATGCATCGACGAAGTATATTGATCTTAAAAGCAAAGTTAATTGGATGGATTGTAAAGGAAAGTGTTATGTGACCAATCAGTGCTCAATACATCCTCTACTGCTAAAGTACATTCTCTGGATACTTCTAGTACTTAGCAGCTTAGGTACCTACTACATGCGTTATGTTTTCTACTTTCAAATTCAAACTCTTTATGCCTACATAAACTTTACAATCTTTCTAACTCATAATATCTAACAAAAAATATTCATATTGATCAACCTACAATACTATTATGTGATGACTAAATTGAAAACGCACCCTTATCTCGTCAGTGCGTGCGGACCCACGCAACCAGGCATGTATGTAGATAATGGCCCGTAGGATGTCTAGGATAAAGATCGCCGAACCCGATTGCAACATTTCCATGGTCCATTACGTCGTGGCGGGGAGAAACAAAAACACTTCCCCGAACAACTTCATTCATCGTCGCCACTCACCTCTCTCGACTCATGACTTGACTTAGTCATCCACGTTGTCGACTTGGTCAAGAGCTATTATCATGAAGCGGTCCGAGCCTAGCTTCGGTCGCGATGACAAAATGACGAATGAGCATACACCGTTAATCACCACCGTTACCGTCGGTGAAGTCCGTCGGAGATACCCTCATCAGACCCTCCGCCGATTCTGTACCATAGCTTTGACTTCCTCACTCGTTGCTCTCTTTGTTACATTTCTCTTTACCGTCGTCTTCGCCCCATCACATAGCACTCACCGCGGATGGCCCGGACATCACCATAACCACATTACCTACGAAGAGCTTCAAAGCATCCTCCTAGACACTCCAAGCTCAGATAAGGCCACCGAGTGGAGCAAGTACTACACAGCCGGTGCGCATTTGGCCGGGAAAAACTTATCTCAGGTAAGATATATACCTACTCATAACTTAACATGAGAATATAAGAATATCAAAATATCAAAAGAACGTAATTTCTCATCACTATAATATAGGCAGAATGGACGCGAGATCGCTGGAACGAGTGGGGAATCAAATCAGATATTGTCGCATATGAGACCTACTTAAACTACCCGGTTGATCACCGACTTGCTCTTCTGGAGAAGTCAAAATCAGACTCTACCGATGCTGGAGTTTGGAAAGTTGCTTTTGAAGCTACTTTAGAAGAGGACGTGCTCGATGAGGACCCAACTACACAGCTGGAGGAAAGCATTCCGACATTCCACGGCTACTCTGCAAGTGGTAATGTCACTGGCTCTTTCGTGTATGTAAACTATGGAACTTTCTGGGATTTTGAGGATCTCGTCAAAGCCAACATCAGCCTCGAAGGCAAGATCGCTATTGCTCGTTATGGTGGTATCTTCCGAGGGTTGAAGGTCAAGCGAGCTCAAGACCTTGGTATGATCGGCGTCGTTCTCTTCAGTGACCCCGGAGATGATGGTAAAATCACCGAGGCCAATGGGTACGAGGCGTATCCGAACGGCCCTGCACGACATCCCAGTAGCGTCCAGCGAGGGAGTGTCCAATTTCTCAGTGTCGCGCCAGGCGACCCAACAACGCCTGGCTACCCTTCAAAACCGGGAGTGCCACGAGCCTCGGTCGATGGATCCATTCCGAGCATCCCATCTTTACCGATTTCTTACGTCGAAGCCCTGCCAATATTAAAGGCTCTCAATGGACTTGGTCCAAAAGCTAAAGATTTCGGCGAATACTGGACCAGGAATGCCGGCCTCGAATATAAAGGAGTCGAGTACAACATTGGGCCCTCGCCTGACAACGTAGTGCTTAACCTTTATAACGAACAAGAGTACACCATCACTCCCCAGTGGGACGTCATCGGTATTATCAATGGTACAATTCCCGACGAGGTAATTGTAGTGGGTAATCACCGTGATGCGTGGATCGCTGGCGGCGCAGGTGACCCCAACAGCGGTTCTGCCGTTATTAATGAGGCTATTCGCAGCTTCGGTCAAGCTCTAGAAAAGGGATGGAAACCACTACGAACCATCGTCTTCGCTAGCTGGGATGGCGAAGAGTACGGATTGGTGGGAAGCACCGAATGGGTCGAAGAATACTTACCATGGTTATCTGTCACTAACGTCGCTTACATTAATGTTGATGTTGGGGTACGCAGTCCAGTCTTCGAGGCCAATGCCGCTCCGCTGCTGCACAAGCTCATATATGATGTGACTGCATTAGGTAAGACTTTATCCGATATATAAGAAGCGCCATACTAACAATTCGCAGTGCAATCGCCCAACCAAACTGTCAAGGGGCAGACAGTTCGTGATTTGTGGGATGGGTACATCGGTACGATGGGAAGCGGTAGTGACTTTACGGCCTTCCAAGATTATGCAGGCGTGCCTAGTCTCGATATGAACTTCGGTGGGCAAACCGACGACTCACCAATCTATCATTATCATAGCAACTATGATAGCTTCCATTGGATGTCAGAATTTGGCGACCCTGGATTTGTATATCACAGGACTATGGCTCAAATCCTTGGTCTTGCTATCGCAAAAATAGCCGAGACGCCGCTCATTTCCCTGAACGCAACCGACTATGCGGATGCTCTCAAGGGATACGTTGAGAAGGCCGAAGCAAGGCTAGAATCCTCCCAGGCAGGATTATCTACTGAGGAGGAAATCTTCGAGTTCAGAGCGCGCGGTGTCAGCACCGAGGTTAAGGGTGATCAAGAGGCTTTCAAGGTGTCGCTGAATCTCCTATACCAGGCCGTCGACGAGTTCAAGCAGGCGGCGATCGCCCTCGACGCTAAATCGGACGAACTAGCCGAAAAAGTAAGCGAGGACATCCCCTGGTGGAAATGGATCAGCAAGCTGAAGCTATTCCACGAAATTCGTTTCGTCAACACCAAGTACAAGAACATCGAGCGGGCTTTCTTATATCCAAAAGGATTAGACGAGAGACCCTGGTTCAAACACGTTGTATTTGCACCTGGGATCTGGACCGGTTATGCGGGTGCTGTATTCCCTGGGCTTGTGGAGAGTATCGACAGCCAGGATTTCGAGAATGCGCAGAAATGGGTTTACATCATCGAAGATCGCATCAAGACTGCTACAGAGACAATTCGGTGATCCCAAACGTGAAAATAGGATATATATTTAGTTTTGGACTTGGGGTATTTGCGGCGCAGTTACTATACTATATTCATGGTCTTCACGAAACAAAGACCAAAGTTGCCTAGGTAGTTAAGATCGACGAGCGGAATTTACCGCCCTTAGCTGATGTAGATTGGAACTGGACGCTCAGGTGGTGTCAATATATTTACTTTACATCATCGTTTTCGAAAATCACCCCAAGCTAAATCCTCAAAGCTTGATTTTACCTCTCAAGTGGCTTGGGGGTTTCCTATTCAAGAAACGACTTGTAAAATCTGACATGATCCTCCAATATCCTCCAGTATCCTCCACATACTAAGTTTAGCACACCCTCAATCCCGCCTCCTGGGATGTGCAAGGTTTAGCAATTAGCTACGATGATTGGCTATTAGATTTCAGCTCTGTAGCGTCGTGCTATTCACAGTAAAGATATGACACCATTGCCATTGACGATGGATGGAAGCGATGTCAAGGTATGGTTATTCTAACATGCTCACATTAATGAGGTGATCGTCATGGCTGTGCTTGGGAAGATGTCGGTTAAGGCTTTGGACTGTCGTCTGCAGAAGTATCGTCTCAAGTATAAAATCTGTAGAATCCGCGACGACAGAGAAGATGAAATGCTCCTATCTCAGGCTCAGACTTGAATTCAAGTGTCAACCACGCCTACACCTAAATCAATAAATCGACTTCGATTATAATTCCAAATTTTACTTATAAGTCACCGTCACCGTCGTCATCACCATCATGTAGTGAGTTAAACCATGCAAGTCTCGGGACTTGATATGAATTTACTTAGTTAACAAGTTTTATCTCTACAGCACCAACACCATCACCTTCATCGGCATCGCCACAGCCTTCTTTGGCACCCAAGTCTTGGGCAGGTCTTGCCATCTCGAGACCACGGCATACCACCGACAGAACAGCGCCTGCGGCTCCGGCAGCTGCATTGCCGGAGATACCTTGTAAGTTCATCGATCCACCGTAACACCATCTACTAGGTACCTATCTACCTAGGCAAGTCCTATATAAGACTCACTAATCATTAACTCGATGAAATAGCGGCGGTAGCGGCGTGTTTAAAATCGACGGCAAGATCGAATGGAACGGAAAGGGCGCCAACTACGATAAGCTGAGCAATGGCAAAGGTGTCGATGTTGATGCTGGTGGTGTCAAATTCCACATCGACCCGCTCGGCATCCCAGACGCCCGGGACAAGCCCAGTTGCAAGGTCCACATCGGCAGCTACACCAACCTCGGCATTGGAAAGACGAAGAACATCGGCCTGCCTGGTGTTGTGGGTAGGGACTTTGACTGCACTCATGACTGGAACTGTTGAACCAACGACGGTTCTCGATAGCGTACCTACGGTCGTTTGAGAGGACACCTACCAGACAGACGTTGTATACCTATACAATAGGCTCGATGTGATCAGGGTTTTTTGCTTGTATATAGCTCTTTGAAGTTTGATGTATATTATTGTCGATAAATGGATTTTGTTGAAATCCGGACTTTCCCCACGAGATGTCCGGAGCTTTATAAAACTCCACCTACTGCCTACTACCTACGAAGTAGAAATTCGACTGATATATCTAGTATTCTCTTAAGACTTACACCTCACACCATAATCGATGGTCTTACATATTGGTTAGATGTTACTATTTTATTATGAATTTTATATTAGTAGGATCTCTAGAGAGTATCACGGAAAGTCATACTAGAGGAATGATTCGCATCATTCTTAGCGTGTGCTATTATCCCGTTATCCCATCCACTGAATATTAGAATGTTTCCCGTAACTGAATTATTCTGTGCCGTCGACCAGCATACCCCCTAATTACCGAAAACCGGGGAAAATGGAAGAGGATGTGGCTATGCAGATGTTGGCAGCCGGGGTTTGGTCTGAGAGTAGATCTTTATTCGACAACTCAAAAGACAATCCATGAAACTCATTTAACGGCTTCCAAAGAATCTTCCATGCCTACTCCGTATTGCCGCGTACGCAACGAATTAAATATCACAATGGCGCCGCAAACCTCGTACGCTGAGTCCAATCCCTCTTCTGGCGATTGGCGATTGACTCCAGGCGACAATCCGGGGTAGTCATTTGAAAGACGCCTGGTTTCCATTCATGATGCAGTGGTTACTTAAATTCGCAGCCGGAGCGCTTCTAGCTGTCTCAACCGTTGTCGCAACGTCCGACGGAACAGCATCGCCAAGAACCGCGAATAGAAGATATATAGAAGAACGAAATGGGGTACATTACAACGTCTTCGAACATGTTGCCACGCGATCCAAGTTATCATTCGTCAAGAACTCGGGAATATGTGAAACCACGCCAGGCGTCAACCAGTATTCGGGATATCTCACGGTGGGCGAGAATATGAACATGTGGTTTTGGTAGGTCGACCTAAGTACCCAGTATATAGGTTGAGACCTCGGGCTCATGATACTGACATATGGCTCGCAAGGTTCTTCGAAGCTCGCGAGAATCCTCAAAAGGCTCCCTTGGTGGCATATTTAGACGGCGGCCCGGGCGCTGCTTCAGAGTATGGGCTCTTCACGCAAATTGGACCTTGCCACTTTGTCAATAACGAGACAACACCGTCATTGAACCCATATGCCTTCAACAACTATGCCAACATGCTCTATATTGATCAACCCATAGGCGTGGGCTTCTCATATGGAAACGAGACCACCAGTTCCACCAAAGAAGCAGCTCCTCTAGTATGGAACTTCCTCCAGCTGAATATGAAAATCGAGATTTCGGCGTCGTCACCGAATCGTACGGAGGCCATTATTTACCCGAATTCACACGTTATATTTTGGAGCAGAATGATGCGGTTATTCGAGGAGATCTCCAAGGCGAAGAAATCCGTATGGTGGGTGTAGCCATTCACAACGGATGGTTCGACGCCGCAATCCAAGAAAAGTCCAACATCGAGTACATGTACAATAACTCGTACAGGCAAATCATCAATGAGTCATTCCATGACGAACTCTTGGACAAGTACAACACGACTGTCAAACCTGCGCTGGACCTTTGCCATACCAGCGGTACGAATGCCAATTGCTTTGCCGCTTATACGTCGTACTCGAATACGATCGAGTTCCCGATACTAGCTGTTTTCAGAGAGAAATCTTCTAACGGGTATTATCTGGGTGACATCCGTGAGCCGTATTCGAGACCCCCTTCGACACATGTCGAGTATCTGCAAAGATCAGATATCCAGAGAGCTATTGGAGCGAAGGCAAACTATACGGATCAAGCAGGGGAGATTGGGTTCTACTATTCTGGTGATGGTATAGTTCCTCTCTTTCTCTTTTCTCTCTTCGCTAGGACAAATATCCTATGTGAGATAATGCATGAAATATTAACGAAAACGACAGATGCGCGCTCATTCATACCTCAGCTCTCGGATATTGTACAAGCTGGCATCAAGGTCCTCATCTGGACTGGTGACGCCGACTACGTCTCGAATTGGTACGGTACACTTGACGTGGCACATGCCGTCGAATGGTCCGGAAAAGACGAGTTCGCGACCAAGACGCTAGAGCCGTACACCCTCAATGGGGTAGAGAAGGGAACGTTTAAATCTGTAGATAACTTCACCTTCATGCGTATATACGAGGCAGGACATAACGTACCGTTCTATCGTAAGTTGTTCATAGATGAGACGTTCAACTTGGGAAGTAATCGCTAACTCGATGCAGAACCGGAAGCCTCGTTACAGATTTTCAGGCAATTCATGGAGACGGGTAATGTGAATCCTACATGAGGCTTCGGCTCATGAATCTGCCTAGATTGACATTCTGCCTGACGTCTGTAGAATATGATATGACATAGTGCCTATTCACAGTGTACCTAAATATATGTTTACTGTCCCAGCAGCCGTCTGCCTACCATTGGTTGCCTTCCCCTTTACTCGCCTCCCTGTATACAGTTGTAGATAATGCGTGTAGTTTCCTCCCGTCTAATAGGCCGCAGTTTGCTAGGCAGATAGGTCATATCATGACTTTGCCTAGTACCCCGCTGGTTGCCTACATAATTGTCTTCCTTCATTGGATGATAACTCAGCCCTACCAGCTTACCCTGGTCTGACTGCATATGCCGGACAGGCAACTAGTCCGCGCGATCGCCTCATCAATGGCCGTGAAAGTGACACGGAGCTACCGACTAAACTATAAGATGGTTGTGGGCTTCGTCCTTTTGCTTCTATAGGTAATCAATCTCTTATTCTCCAACCTTCCTCTTTTCATAATACACATTTTATCTCATTCCAAATTTACTTCTATACCAGTCACATTCTGCAACAATATGGATGATACCAGCTCCACTGCCAGTTTCGAAGAGATTGGCCCCTCTATCAAACCCTTCGAACCAAGCTCCGAGTTCAGTGACGAAGACAAGAACGTCCGAAAATTGAGAGCTCTCGTTGAAAAATCGGTCATCAACGACGGTACGTCTGGTGGGCTTGCCGAGGATGAAGTCCCAGACGTCTGCTATGTTCTTCAATACAAAGGGTGGGGTGGTAAGCTGATTGATGGTTAGTTGACCCTATTGACCCTGTTTCCAACCTACTTCCTTGATATATTGCTAATATAATCCTAGTGCGTCGTAGCCACGAGCCCATCAAGGTCCAGTTAGATGAGATGAACGAGGAGGTTTCGTCTTCGACAAAGAAGCCAATCCTCGAGATCGTAACTAAAGTCTCAACTACCGTCATCCAACAGAAACAACCTGGCCGCCGCCCTCCCCTTCCACAGCATCCTAGATGGAATCCTAGATTTGACTATAACGGATTTGATGACTTCTCCTATCAAGGGGGTCCTCCTCGGAGACCTGGAGGCATCGATGAGTCCACGATGAAGGTTGCCAAGGTAGAAACAACATGCATGGTGATCAACTCGACCCACCTCATCAATGCCCTCAAGGCCGTGGTCGGATACTATCCTTCCGTATCCTTCATCGGGGAGACCCTCACGATCAATGCACCATATCATGTCCTAGTCCACCACAAAAATGATCTTGCTCTCTTCAAGGTAAACCAGCCGACGACTCACGACGTAGAGTATGCTTCTACGACTGCTAAGCACATTGACATACTTCTTGACTTCCTCGAGAAGACCCTTGGCGACCAGATCCGAGAGGAGGAGAAGCGGCACAACAGTTCTATCCCGTCGGCCACTTTCGATAAACTTGGGCTGATCTTCAAGCCTGGCGAAGTCATCTATGCCAAGCAGGATTACAAGTGGACTCCTTTCGTACTTTCAATTTTTACTGAGGGTTATACCAACAATCAAGGGGCCATCACCCCACACCATATCGTCTGCTGGAATATCTCCTATTCCGCGGAGAGGCTCTGCCGCACAATGCACTCGTTCTCCATTGACCCCTTTTCCGGCGAGGAGACCATTTCAAACTTATCAGTCATACCAGCCCGTTTCTTCAGAGGTATAGACTGGGATTTGGATCCCATGCAGGTCAAAGAAAGGCAGATTGAGCTCGGTAAGATGGTCTGGGAGCTTTCCGAGGGGCCGAGGTACATGTGCCACGATGGTAGCTTGGCCGACAGAGACCCAAATTTTAGCTGGTCTTATCCCGTCAGCGCAAATGGTTATATGAGCGGCCGTGTTATCGTTGATCAGGCCGGGTTTGCCCGGTATTCTCTCGATTGCCCCGGAGAAAACCACCGACGGGGACGCTCTCCACCACCGCCCAACCGACCTCCAATCGTCAAGGATACCCTTCCTTACCTCGCTCCCTGCTGCGGCTGCAGTGCCTGCAGCAAGGCCAACAAAAAAGATCATTTGAGTCCTTTCGCCGCGTTCGAAGACCTCGACCCGACCTTTCACGATGCGCCAGACCAGGATCTCTACTACATCGTCCTGAACAAAGTTGTCTCCGGCTTCATCCTTGGAGAGCGGCGCTGGGGCCACTTTAACGTCGAACATCTCCGAGAGGTCCAATTTGACAAGGATGCATTCAAGTATCTTGTGCTCGACAACGAGATCAAGCTCACAGTCCGGTCTCTCATTGGTAAATTCGCCAGCGAGAAAGGCCGGGTAGCCCCGTGGCCGAACGACTTCGTTCAGAACAAGGGCCAAGGCCGAATCTTCCTCCTTCACGGAAGCCCCGGCGTCGGAAAGACTTGCACGGCCGAGTGCGTGGCGGAGCTGACGAACCGGCCGCTCCTCTCGCTCACGAGCGGCGACCTAAGCACCAACTCGTACCAGGTGGAGAAAAACCTGGAATACTTCCTGCAGCTGGGCGAACGCTTTGGGGCCATGGTGCTTCTCGACGAGGCGGACGTGTACCTAGAGGCGCGGCGGGCCAAGGACATCGCGCGCAACGGGCTCGTGTCTATCTTCCTGCGCGCACTCGAGTACTACCGCGGCGTGCTATTCCTGACGACGAACCGCGTGCAGACGTTCGACTCAGCCTTCACGTCGAGAATCCACGTAGCCCTTCACTACCACTCGCTGACCGACACCGACCGCGAGAAGATCTGGATCAACAGCTTCGAGAGACTCGAGCGCGATAGCGGCGGCAAGGTGCATGTGGGCCTCGCGACGCGCGAGTACGCGTATGAGAGCCGTGACGTGAAGAGCCTGCGCTGGAACGGTCGTGAGATCCGTAACGCATTGCAGACGGCTGTCGCGCTGGCCGAGACAGAGGCCCTCGAGGATGGAATCGAGAAAGTCTCCGTCACTGACAAACACCTCAAAGCCGTGGTCAAGATGAGCCGCGGCTTTAAGAATTTCCTACGTAGCCAGAAGCTGAAGGGCGACGCCGAGGTTGAGGATGACGACGACGAGAACGAAGAGGAAATTGAGGATGGAAATTCATCTGATATATATGAATAGAGGTCTCATATGATATTATGACATGATTCCTATGTCCTAAAGGCGCCGACGGAACAAGGGGTAATGGAATGGAAACCAAAGTGTATTGGTTAATATAGGTAGTTAGTTGATATCCATGGATGAGATATGACTTCACGACGTCTTCATTCAGTCTTGCGCCTCCGTAGTAGAAGCAAACTGCCTACTTAGCACACTGTTTAGAACAGTTTGACGCCAATTATACTTCCCTATGCACTAAACTCTTCTCAGTAGTCGGTATGATGTACGGTTGTTTGCGGGTTGAAAGTAGGCAAAGGTAAGAGAGGTGATTTCAAGGTGTCATGGTCAACACCCTGTCGATTTAGTGCGTTTGGCGGAATGGAAAATGTGGGCCGTTCAATCGGCTAAATCCCGGGTAGAAACATAGAGTTATATAGCAAAATAAACTTACAATTTTTGCCTTCGGGCATTTGGTCAATTTGAAACGATACAGAGAAGATTAGCATGGCCCCTGCACTAAGGATGACACGCTCAATCAAAGAGAAGCAAACAATTTTTTCTTACTTTTTGCATAAGTTCGAACCACACACATGCCTTTTTTTTTTTTTTTTCTCATTATCGCATTTCTTTCCTCCTACTTTTTCGCAGCATCTTGACTCTTATTCAAAACGCATAAAAAGTAAAAGCCATTATTCCTTTTTTATAATAATTACCTACTTGGGTATTTATAAGACTTGGTTTATATTCTACGAGTCTATCGATGTATGTTCGATTTGCATGGTCATCTTGGCTGGATCTCCATATCATAAGTATGTCAAATGTTTCGTGATGATATAACTCTCAATGAATCTCGATCTACACTTAACTTATCTTAAAGCCATATTTTTTCACTTTTCTCTATATCACAGCTCATTTTCTTCCAACTTTCTTTACGCTCTACTTAACCCTTAACTACGATTCAAGCCTATTCCCATCAAAGACCAGAGCTAACAGCAGCATAGATTCCTAATTGTGCAAAGTAGCCAATAACAATACGCACAACGAAAGGTAGGAGCTCATGTTTCGTTAGGTAACCAGCACTATCATGGATCACGATCCCAGAAATGAAGATGTTATGGCTCTTTCTTCAGATGAGTCTAGGGAATTGATATCGAGAATAAAATAAAATAACTGAGTAAAAGAGATCTACGTAGCGGCCCCAATTCCTTGGGAGCCTTCCTTGCATCCGCTTGGCAATAGAAATATTAGCACTAACGCTCTCGAGTGCCAGAGCGACGGCACAGGTACATACCTATCTACCAGGTATTCATGCAATGAAAAGGGCTTTGAGAACATGGGATATCCTTATAATTCTTACTATACAAGACACACAGATATCGTAATCACGGCGGGTTCCCCTTTTCTGCGTCCTTAAGCTAACCGCACTCTCTTGAGATCTCCAGCGCTACGAAGTACTATGTCTGATCCTAGACCTGGCCTTAAACCCGGTCTTGTACCCAAGCTGATACGCGGATAGTCTGAGCACGAGCAAAAAAAAAGATTCTAGAACACCTACGCTTGACTTTGTTTCTGGTTCATACTACCGGGATCGCCATACAAGCTTCACTAGGGCTGCATGACACCTAGCCGCCTATGACTAATCAAACGAGACACGTAATGAGTAAAGCTCAGTGAAGATAAGGTTGATCTTAATAGAAGATTTTGATAACGACGATGAGAAGACCCAACAACATATTCTCATATCATACATTGAATTTTTAAGGATAACCCGGAATAGGGAGAAAGAATACCGGCGTTCTCCCCTTTTCATTAGTCTCAGATACATAGATCATACATCTTATCTCCACATCGACATGTAAAATCCTCTCTGTATCGTGTACATATTATTAAGTAGGTATCATAATTGGCCTCGCTTCCTAGAACGCTGTGCGATCTACCACCAGGTTAACCACATAAAACTTTTGCTTCACAAAATTGGCCAAACAAAAAACAGATAGCCAGCCACCCCTTTGAGTCTAATCGCAAATTTAAGCGTTCTCGCGCGCCGTCTTAGCACGAGCCTGTCGTCCCTTCTCGGACCATGGGAAGTGAAAGACGGGAATAATGAAGAATGAGTTGCTACGTTATAATTAGCCAAACGTCTTACGGCAAATACAGCATGTGGACACGAACCTAGAGTCGGCAATACCAGCAAAGGCATTGTACCAAGCCAAAAATGCGGCGATCAGACCGAAGCCACCGCCGGCCTGTTGAAGCTTCACGCCCGCGGAAGACGCACCGTTTGCCAAGGCGTAATCGGAGCAGGCCAGCATGAGGAAAGCGAGGTCAAGAGTAAAGAACAGCATGAAGAACATGACCGTCGATCGCAGAGTGCACAATAGCAGGAGGAACGTGAAGATGAACCAGCCCGTCAGGAAGAAACCGAGAACCGAGTGTGTCTCAGCCTCTCCGTACTTAGTAAGAACCTCGAAGCCCGGAGTCAGGACGATGGCGTAAGAGAGCCAGAAACCACCATAGGAGGACAGGGCAGTAGCACCGAAAGTGTTGCCCACAGCCATCTCCCTGTTGCAATTGGTTAGCCACCGTAAATTGTTCTTCTACCAGAGTACCACGGCTCCTAATCCTGAACACTTACCACATGCCGGCTAGTAGTTGGACAAGACCACCATAACCATAAGCCAGAGCCAAGGCGATGTTCGGCTTCGTGATATCTCGCGCGCCGCAGTTGATCAAGGATAGGACGAAGGTGGTCAGGGCGAAAGCAGAGAGGCCGAGTGGCGCAGGGTTGGCGAACTTCCGGTGCTCGATAGGCTTGTACAGGCCGGGCTGGAACTCACCACCGAAGGCAGGAAGTCGGGCATCCGGGCCGGAGTGTGCGTGATACAGCGGGTTGCCGCCATAGTCGTAGCGATGAGTGGTATCGACACCGTTGGTGTTCGCGCCTGTGGTAGTAGCACCAGGACTGATGTCCTTCTCGGCGGTAGGCACCGAGTGCAGTTCGGTTTCAGCCATTGCGATTACAGGCTATATTATCTATTACTCTTCCAAAAAGTGGGTTAGGTAATAGAGTGGTAGTCGTTGTATGGTTGGAGCGCCTGCTTCCCACTTGTGAGTTCCGAAGATTGTTGACAGCGACTAGAGAAAAAAAGAAAGAAAAGGAGAGCCGGGAATGGAATTGAGACGACTGGGGGAACTCGACGGTTTTATGTAAGTAAGACACTGGAAGAATATGGGATATTAATTAAGCCATGGGGATTTTCTCAGTAGATTCTGGGGGGAAATGGGGGTGTACGGAGAAATGATATGTGCTAGGTAATAGAATTGACTAGCTCTCATAGGCATTCAGGGTCTGCATAGCATGTACTATGTAGCATGTAGTACGCAGTGGAGAAGGACAAGGGTGAGGACAGAGGGAAGGACTAGGAAAGACAGGGGAGGAAGGAGATGCAGGGGGATGTAGGGAGAATATGGAAGTTACTCCACCTTCTCATCAAATCGTTACAAGCTTGGCTTTCCTCTTCTCTGGGGTCTCTCACACAAATGTCTGGTCACCGATTGGTAAGTTCCCCGGGGTAAAGCTACCCAAAAGCTACCCCAGTTCTGCCCAGCTGCCCAGTAAATTACATCACCCAGTCACCCCAACAGCTAAGACTACTAAAAGACGGGGTTGCATCAAACGATTTTACGTAGATGCAGATGATAGGTAATGTTGGTGAAAGTGTTTGTCCCGTACTTGATACGTATGTGTGTATGTTGCTTGGCTTACTCAACCGAAGCGAAGGAATATTTATTAATTCCATTATTGCCTAGTACAATACCTTACTAGGTAACTTATAAGAAAAGACCTGAATAGTAGTCAGAACCTAACTACGTAGCCGCTCAGTACTAGGTAGGCGGATTACGTGGGCCACGTTGTGGAAATTGAATACCTACCACATATGTAGGTACATAAATAAATACATTTACTCTATACTTCGTACAACTACTAGGTACAATGTCGTTCCGCTGTTCCGCTTCACCGGGAACCCTCTGTTCCATGTTGTGCAGGACGTTTGAATCAGGTGGCCCCGACGCTAAAAACGAGAATTCGGCATTCTAGAAGAAGTAGTGATCGCTTAGCGGACCGGTACATAGAGCTGAAGGCGCGACACTGGAGTTCAAGCCAGCAGCTGGTAGCTACATGCCTAACTCGGTAGGTGTAAGGTATGTAGGTACATATATGTAGGTATTGTACATAGAGGCTGTGTAGGCTGCTGCCCAGTGCAGCCAGTGGTGTTTTCGAGTGTCTCCAGGGCTAGTGCTAGTACTGATAGGGTACTAGGTAGTTAACACATAATCAATTGGATAGACCCGGACAAATGGTTTGAATTTCCGCGAATGTGGTTTGCTAACTCGAATACCTTACCCCTGCTAGGGTCTGGACAGAGCCTGGACTGCAGAAGTAGCGCTATATCTAGCGCCCTTTCCCTGCCGCCCCGGGGAAAAGGGACGGAGATCCAGTTCGTTTTAATTTCTGTCAAGTAATCCTTTTTAATCCGTCGAGAAGAGGCTCTTGGCATAATGTCTTGATGCCTCTAAAAGAAACAAATTATTGTTGTTTTAAATCCCCTACCTCTTGTCTCTTGTCTTTCAAGGGAAGAAAAGGGATCCAATAACTTGAAGTAAATGCATTGTACAGCAGAGATAGGGATGATAAGCCTATAAGGGCCGACTTCTACCAACACCAACAATACACGCACATCAAACGTGTATTGGTAGGTAGGAATGTATATTACAATATGTAAGCGAATCATATATGACATCCCACTAGATGAAATGGAGGGACGGTACGACACGATGTAACCCAGCAAAGTAACACGGTCATGATAAGTATAACGGGCTGCTGGTACCTGCGAGAGAGCCGCATACCTCTACATACGTTGTTTGGGAATTTGGAGTTTGGGGTTTGGGAGTGAGACTGGTTGCATGATGTTACAACTATTTGGCGATAATTTAGACTTAGCGATGATTCTCGTAGCCCTAGGAGATTGTCTTCGTGGCTGTCATATGGGTGTAAACGAAGATACCTGATTGATAGGCTGAAGATCCATGTAAATGTATCCATGGATGTATGCTGATGCTTACACGTACAGCATGAACGTTAGTGGTATCTAACATATGCATAATTCATACAACTTACGATTGGCTATATTGTTCCATGTCAGCGCCATCACACCCGAATATCCCTTTTTAAAATAAGAATGGCTTATTATTGTGTTTCAGTAGTAGTTAGTCCTGTGTTTGTGTAGGTGCATACCGAGGTATGTAGGTATTTCGGATTAGCACCTCCTTTTGCTGACGTGATAGCTGTTCTTCAATTACCTGGTACCCTCCCTATCTTTTTTTTTTCTTTTTTTTTCAAAAATTTTTTTAGAAGTTTTTTAATTACTAGGTAGATATGCACAGGTACTCACACATTAATAGCGTATCAACGGACCCGACCGTTATAAATAGCTAAACGTGTTAGTCTTCAACCGTCTTATTAAGTACATAGTCTACCAATACTTCGGGTATTTAGGTCTTCGACGATCAAAACCTAATATTTAAAGTATTTTCTCTTCGGTCGTGGGGGACATTGGAGTTGGAGACAGCAGCAGAGTTGTACTATGTAGAGTCTTAACACATGATAATTACCAACTTCCGACCAGATTCGGGTGGCTATACCCCACAACAAGAGCGGGGGAAGCTTGGATGTTTAACTTTTCCCCTCATCTCTCTGATCTCCAAGATCGAAAACACTGTTCATTCTCAATAGTCTCACTTCACCGCCCCATCATCGCTAATCACTTGACTTCACAGGATCCTTCCCTTCGAGCGGTTGACTTATCCTAAATCTCAAAGGATTCTAAAAGTCATCTGATCTTAACCTTAATCATCCTAGTACCGCAGACTCCACGAGTCTTGGCTGTTGCTTGGCCGTTCGTTACCCCGGATCGGATGGATGTACCCCACAATCCCACGGAGCTGAGGAAGTTGAGCGAAACACGTCATTAGATGTTCGTTGTTGGCATCTCGTAAGTGTTTATCATGCCCATATGTACGTTTTCGGACTTGTCAGAATGGAGTCAAAAAAGACCGCCCATGTGCTATTCCTACTGTATTGGACTGTGCAAGTATGTATCCCTTGCTGTGCTAATATTGGCAACTTATACCTAGTATACTCATCATAATTGGTAGAAAATGCCTGTTATGTAATAGAGGGGATAGTTTTAGTGACAGTGCAAATAGTAAGATTAGCACATGGGGCACTTTTTCTGACTCCATTCTGCTTGTCAAAATATTCTTGTGTTATGAGAATTAGATCGAATTTAACTAGGTATACATATTTATGACACTGTCATACTCTCTAGTACGTACATAGTATGTACCTAATGTAAGTTGAACACCTACTCGACTAACAGGGAATCCATCGCACGGTTCGCTCAATTCTATTTCGGGATATTACAGAGTAACATCTGGAGAAACTCCAAATTTATGCCCTGTTCAAGGTTTCGATTTATTCAACATATCCATCTTTACATAGTAGCATCTGGCACAATAACCGCTTGAGCCTTCAACGCTCTGAACGGTCTACATACACGTCCTGACAGTTCTACGAATGCCAGGTATGGGTAAGCACGGTCCAATCCAAACGACATGTCAGCTATCGATTTAGATCTACAGTTTCGATCTTAAGCATACCTAGTAATGATAAATCGGCAACAAATATTGCCGACGATCCTCGCTTTGTCCCGGGGGTCTTGTATTTTGGAAACGTTACGACTACATAATACATACAGCTCAGCAACGGTATTCTCAACCTAGGACATCTACGACATTTAAGACATTTAACAACTACCTACTGAGCGACAAGTTAAGAGCCTACATTTGATATTTTCAACTATATTCCCGTCATGAGCAACGACAATGTTTAACTCCTTATGTACCTAGTAAAGTCTGTTGTATTGCTTTGAATTCTCAGTTCCTAGACAAAATATGCAAACAGCAATCAGTCTTCATTAATATTCTACCTACACATATCATTTCTGATGATGTGTCGTTCTACCGAATCCACGTGGTTTAAGCCTCACATTCCTTCAACCCGTCCGTAGTTAGATAACTACCTACATACGTAACCATACTAACGAAGAAGAGTATTACCAGGGAACGATAATTGTGTGGATCAGAACCTCACCATCGGATTCCCAACTTCTAATCGTGTATGCAAGCTTCCGCTGCTGGACACCGACAAGTAATGTGTTACAGCATTAGCGGCCTGCATAATTAAAAGGGATTCGGCCCTGCGGTGGCTCTATTGGCAAATACGTGCGTAGTGACATGCCCCAGGAGGCATAAATCAAAATACCTGGATATAATTCGTGTCAACCCCTGGTGCAGTATCTAGGCCAGGGACTCCCCTTGACACCTAGGTACTAGGTAGGTAGGTATGGATTTATCCGATCGTGTCGCTAGAAACCATCCCAGTATTTTTTATTCCTACATCCACGTGTTGGGATTCAGACTTTACCTACGCATTTACCCATTTATTCCACAACCTTGGAAATGAAATAATAGCACCTAAAATGGAACTACTCCCTACAGGTCTTAATTTCCGTAAACAATAGCCATAACTAGATACCCTCTCAACTTTCTGTCATCCGTCCGAAGGACATTTTCAATGTGTCTGCATTATAATAAAATACCTAGTTTAGATATGAATAAGTATAATTAAGATATCATTGATATGCATCGCTACCTGCCTAGACATATGCCTTATATATTCCAACCAGGACGCCAGAGAAAAGTAAGGAGTCATCGCCCCCAGCCTACTAAGAAACCTTCATGATCTCGTCATTTAAGCAATATAGTCTAGACGGTTCCGATAATGGAGATATGGGGTTGTCGATCTTACCGAATATTGCTGTGCATAAGTACCTACTCACGGAACAGCAACACAGCCGTGCCCGAGCCCAAATCTAACAAGCTCCTAGGGAGTTGAACTTCTGGTAACCTATTAGACCAGGTAATTATCTAATGACAACTAGTAGGATACTCGAATACGCCGGAGGTGCCGTCCTAATCAGGTAAGTGCTAGAAGACAGTAACGATGGCTACATAAAGCGAGCCATGGGGCCTATATCCTACTATAGGCGTATAGTACACTGATAGATTCTATTAGCATTTAGGAAATATTGATCTTCTCAGCAGGTAGGTATCTAGAAAATACCTTACGTACTAGGCATGACTTAATCCATAATGACATCCTCCTGATATCCCTCGCCTCCGGTAGGCTCGTTCATATCCGGCATCCAACCCTTTGGCCGCTCGTTACCTCGTACGGTGATGCCATATCCAAGTCTCTCAACTTTTCGCACTTGCTCGATCATAATACCTAATTTCTTAGAGTAGGTACCAGGCTTCCCGCCAAGGGGAGGGCAAATCTGCAGCACGGAGCTCACTTCCTGCATGTCGTTCAGAATCGTTCGGCCTTCCGAGCTCTTAACATCTAGGCCGGGCATGCTCCCGCTAAGGGCGGTGACGGCGGTTGCGAAGCGCATCATCTCGCCGGTGAGATCGAATATACCGAAAACGTAATCTGAGGGGGTTAGGGTTATGTTAACAGGAAGTGCCGCCTGTGCTTCGGTGAGTGTGATGATCTTCTGGTGCTGGAGATAGTGAGAAAATGAGATAGCCTCGACGAATTCCTCAAGGCATATGAGCGGGTAGCGATGTCGATTCATTCCGGCCACATCCCCCTCGATAGTCATCAAAAGTTTAGCGATCTCTTTTAAGCGATCGTCGACATCAGATTGAATGTGAGCGGGGAATGGTTGGTTAAGCTTGTGGACACTGATGGTTATGTGAGTAACAGATGAATAATCTAGATCGAATCACATATAATATCTTGTTTTTTTATAGGTATTGAAAAGAAGAAAAAAAACCCTGAAAAAAAGGGAAAGAAAAAGAAAAAAAAGAAAGAAAGAAGAGAGAAGTACCGTTGTAGTGAGAATATGCTACGGCGCAGTTAGCGACAAAGCTCAGAAAACAATAAGTACTGAAGTTGAATAATTTACATCTTCTTACTAAGGGCGGTGACGTCTCGCGAGACTTTTCCAATCTTCATGCGTCGGTCGTGATGCTCGTCCAGCTCGCTTCGGAATGACTCGAACATGGATGTATAAGCGTTGCGAGGCATATCCTTATCTGCTCTGTTGCCCACCCTGCTGTCCATCTTCTCCCTGCCTTGATGGTCTCTCTTAACTCCCATATTGTGGCTACGGAGTTGTGGAACAACCACTTCTGACATAGTTTGAACTTCGAAGTTATGGACGCGATTATTTATTCTCTATAGGTAATTAGTGATTGGGATTAATGGTGATGTAAATTGCTGATAGGCGGGACGGTTTAAAGTGGGTTAAAGTTCTAGTAATTAGCCCAATCGACTTGCCTACTACATAGACACAGCTGGCTTGCAGCTGATGCCGGCTGTTCTCTATCAATTTAGCCGAAGAGGCGCCGATGTTTATAACGACACGTGCGGTGAATCTCATACATCCATCATATATAATATACGTACATCCATGTCCATCCATCACGTAAAATGTTGCCGCGGAAGTGTACTTATATAATGCAAAAGCCTTGTTGAGCGGTCGGTATCGGAGTCATATCAGGGCCATGGTTATCTTGAATAGTGTCAAGCCACACCCATCTCAATCCTTTAAGTGCTGGTCACTGGTCACTCATTCTCCGGTTATTCCGGTCTAGCAACAGGCTATATTTTCTTCAGGGGCGAAACAACATCTGTGAAAGGGCAAGGCCAACAAAGGCCTACCTTAAGAACCATGGCATCCCAATTCACATACTTCATCTCGCATCCCCTCCCTCTCTTCGCGGCGGCCACCGTCCTGCGCGCTGCCATGCTCCTCTACGGGCTGTGGCAGGACGCCAACTCGCCTCTCAAATACACGGATATCGACTACCTGGTCTTCACGGACGCCGCGCGGTTCACCTTCTCCTCTGCCGAGACGGCCTCTCCCTACATGCGTGAGACTTATCGGTATACCCCCTTGCTGGCCTGGTTGCTGTACCCGACGACCTGGTCCGGCACTTTTTGGTTCTCTTTCGGCAAGGCGTTATTTGCTGCTGCAGACCTGTTGGCGGGATACTTGATTATCCTGGTCCTGAGAGGGCCGCATGTGCGTATGTCAGCGGATCGCGCGTGTAGGTATGCGGGCATTTGGCTGTTGAACCCTATGGTGGCAACGATCAGCACGAGGGGCAGCTCGGAGGGGTTGTTGGGCGTGCTGGTTATGGCCCTTCTATGGGCTGTTCTGGAGAAGCGAGTTACGCTCGCCGGTGTGCTGTTAGGGCTCGGTGTTCACTTTAAAATTTACCCCTTCATCTACGCGCCTGCGATTGTGTGGTGGATGGACGTCGAACAGATGGGTAGGAAGCCGGAGGCGAAAGGTCGGAAAGAGAAGGGTATTGAGACCACGGACCAAATAACAGACCTCCTGAAAATTGTTGTGGCATTCACCACGCCAGAACGCATCACACTCACTCTTGTTAGCCTAACTACATTTATAGGCTTGAACCTCGCCATGTATACTCTATACGGGACTCCTTTCCTTACGCACACGTTCTTCCATCATGTCACTCGGATCGACCATCGACACAATTTCAGCCCATACAACATTCTACTTTACCTCAACTCAGCATATCCAAGCTCAGCTTCCTTCAAGGTCGAGTCGGTAGCCTTTTTACCACAGCTGCTCTTATCGACAATTATCATACCCTTAGTCGGGGCCAAAAAGGACCTTCCCACTACTATGCTGGCCCAGACCTTCGCCTTCGTGACATTTAACAAGGTCTGTACAAGTCAGGTATGATATAACTAACCCCTCCTTTCGAAACTGGGCAGCTAGGTTACCCCAACTCACCTAGCACGTTTAGTGAATCCATGAATCCCTTTAGCTAATATTATTCAAACAGTACTTCCTCTGGTACATGGTATTCTTACCGTTATACCTTCCTAACTCCTCGCTCCTCCATAGCCCGCGTATTGGCTTGTCCGCCCTCGCCCTCTGGCTCACGACGCAGGGGTTATGGCTACAGCAGGCTTACAACCTTGAGTTCCTCGGCTTGAGCACATTCGTGCCGGGATTATGGATCGCTTCACTGGCCTTTTTTCTAGTTAATTCTTGGATTCTAGGCATCATCATCGAAGATCTAGGTGGTCGCCCGGGACAGGAAATAAAGAGCGATTAAGGAGAATACATGAAATGTTATATATATGTGTATATGTACACGTGTGTGTGTACATCTTAGTATTAAGCATACTTGTTCGAAGGGCGAGGATATTGTAATTATAGGGCCAACCTCAGAATTTGGCTAGGGGCTATAGGAATAGCACAATAATGGTGTCCTCAGGTAGGGGGGCTAGCTTACTTGATACGTTCATGTTGAGAAGCCAGAGTCTTTCTCACGTCTTGATTCTTGCACCGAGTTTATTCCCGCCTTCAGCAACTGTGCCCTCAAGCCAACTATCAAGCAATGGATTTACTCTGCGACTTTATGCTACATCCTTAACCACATGGTTGATATTACAGCAACGGAGGAGAATCAGTACGCCGGTCGATGAAAACAATTGTAATGGGTATTATTCGCCTCCTGAGAGTCAATCCTGTTCTTCCTCTCCTACTAACCATCCTGCAGTCCATAAGAAGACCCTCCATGCTGTTTATTAGCACTAAGGGATGCATGCCTTACAAACCCCTGTTTGCTTCCAATTTCCATGAGAACTCCGCCTAAAAGAACCCTTCTAGGTATCAGTTACCGTCTCCCCTGCGCCGGAAGGCAAATGAAATATACCCCGATGGGAGATGTAACACAGAAGAAGTATCTTCCGCCATCTGTGTCGTAGTAGTAGTAGTAGTAGTAGTAGTTGTTGTTGTAGTAGTAGTTTAGTTACGGGTTGATTAATATATCGGACTTCACACAATCGTGATGCCACCGGAGAGCATGGCGTAGTTGGCTAATTTAAGGGACAAGACCCTTGATTTTGGGAAGTCGGGGTTAATAACTAACCGGCCTTCCTTGTTATAGCCAACTTCACCGAAGCTTTCAACCATCTCCTCGAAGCAGATGTCTGGGCGGACACGGTTAATCTCTGCCACGATCTCATCGCTCCATACCCCAGAACACCAACCGTCTCTTATCATAAAGTAGGGATTGAGAGGTGGAACAGGAGAGTCTAGTAGGCATAATATGTTAGTGATAGGTCCATGACTAGTTAGGACTCAAGAGACGAAAATGAAGATAGTACGTACCAAGATCAACGTATCGAATCCGCAATAATTCCACAGACTTGAGACGGCCCAAGGCTTGAATACCGCCCAGGACCAACTGTTCGAAGGCGGAGATGAAGTGCATGTCGGTAATACCCGAACCCGACTCGTTCCACTGTGCGTTCTGTCGGCAGCAATTCTTGACCGTGATGTCAATTGTCTTTAGCCGGGTGGTTCGAGGGTTTGAATACTTGGCAAGCACATCGAAGAAGCTGTGGCAGACACGGCCGGTATAGGAGAGATGTTCGAGGTTACATGCAGCTCTCGCCATTTTCTCGCACCAATGAAGCTGTTCACAGACCTTGAGATAGTAAGGTGGGCAAGTCATTTCTCTGCGATAGTCACACTCAAGGCAGAGATTGAGACTAGTAATTTTTGGATCGAGGCACTCGAGCGTGCCCGCCATACTAAGATAGCTCTTAGACTTGGGTTTAGCATAAGTGCCATGCCACTCCTCCAAATTCGGCAGCGCGCGCGAGATGACCTCCCAATCCTTCGGCTGCCGAATTATGTTCCACTGGCCCTTCACGACCAGCGTCCGGATCGACGAGATTTCGGGCAAGTCTCGAGAAGCCCACGCGGGACTAGCGAGGCTAAATTTCACCCGCGGAGCTTTCTTCCTCTCCCCACCCTCAAGCGTCATGACCCGTGCCTCCGGAAATTGCATACTCACGAGATAAAATACTTCTTCAAGAGTCGAGTTGTCGGTTGGTAGCGCATAGGTTGCGCTAGCTATACCTTCAGGCGAGACTGTCGGTAGGGCAAGCGAGGTGTCACCCGGGACGGTCGAGTGGAACTTCGGCTGGAAAACCGGAAACCAGATCTCGACGTGTTTTACGTACGTTCGGAGATGAGGATGGCGCACGAAGAAGTCCATAACATCGTTACTATAATGCACCGTCGCTTTTAGCTTTATGTGGCGATAGAGTCGTTGCTGGATCATATCCCTCCACAAGGGACAGACGAGGGCCAGATTGGATAATTCCTTCCTTCTTGAATGCCGTAATGCGGTACTCCAACTGCGGGCATTCACGCTCGGGATATTGAGAGAACTCGGCGATGTTGTAGATACACGGTATCCGAAAAGGTGATCGAGAATACATTCGTGGATTTCGGCCGGTAATTGGGCTAATGTCAGGACCGGATTTTGTTCGACAATAACCGGCGTAGATACCGGACTCGTGACTATGCAATCTTCGGACCCGAAACAGTCCGGCTGGCAGGTTAGACAACGAATATCGGTTTGGCCCTGCTGGGCATTGGGAAACGGAGTGCTGCTAGGTCGGGTCGGGGGTACGAAATCATTCGGTTTGGGCTGCTCGAGGGGTGGGCTTGCTGGGCCAGGAGTGACAGGAGTTGACGTAGTAGTCATTATTGCGGCCAACTCAACGGTTGCAGTACCCTCGTCTTCGTCGTCATCCCCATCTCCATCCCTATCCTTGTCCCCGTTCCGTTCCCGTTCCCGTTCCCGTTCTCGATCCCGGTTGATGGACATCTCTCTCTGTAGGTAAGGTTCTCTTGGGATGTGAAGGCTCTGAGAATGAGCCTCGAAGGAATGGGCAACACCGGCATCACCATTGTGAAAGCTGGCGGACTCTCTAGATCCAACCATAATCATCTTAACTTTTAAAGCAGGTTTAATACACTAGGAAAGAGGAATGGTCATGACAGGTAGTGTCTGCCGAAGAAAACCGACTTTTTGTCAATTAGTCTTGGTGTTCGAGATCAGTCCTGGATTCGGAGTTGCCGATATGGATACGGCTCTAAGTAAAAGGAGGGTGGCGCGTTAAAAAATGCGGTTGTCCTTCCTGAGGACGAGATTGTAGTTGATTGAAGGAAAGGAAAGGGACAGCCGCCGAAGCGTTCAACGATGATCGCCTTGATAAATTCCCAGTTGATCAAACATGTAATGGCGACGAGACGAAGTTGAGAAATTTTTATAATCTGGTCGTGGTAGGTATCGTATGAGAGGCGCCTTAGACCGGATTCTAGTAGTTGCGTGTCGGTGTCGGGCGTCGGTGGAAAAGTCGACGGGATTGAACTCCAATCGAGAGGATTCGATCTGTCGGAAAAGGGAAAAGGGAAATAATCTGAACCAAAGTCACCTATAATACGCAGTATTTCGATATGCGGTATAACGGAAGGGTTATGACGGTGTGATTCGAATCAATTCCGAGTCCGGATTTCTTTGCAACGTTCAGACTTTCAATAGCGATGGTTCAAATGATGGTTTAGCGAAAGATTTCGGTAAGGCAAGGCGACACATGTGCAGTCACGAGAGATGTTGAATTTGGGATGATGCAAAATGGGCGTAGATGTGTTGGACAGTGGGAGATTTGCCGGGGAGGGGACTTTTTACATTAACCTACCTACTACATAGGTAGCAGGTACTGGGTACTATGTAGGTACTCTGGGAGTCTGAATGCCGGGGGTTTATTGGGTATTGGTGTTGGGTGCTACATGAAGGATGTAGTTCTACTAGTTGTGTAGCACTAGATGAAAGTATCATGCCGGTAACTGTAAATTGTCAAAGTGTAGGTACATACCCATTGATATCCATATATATCCATAGATACTTCATACCTAGGTGCACATTTACGCTAGCGCCTACCCTCGATGCATTGATACCATACCTACCATACAAAATAAAATCCATAGCGCTATCACAATCTGCTTATGACAACGCATTGGACTTCTATTGGGAATATTTGTACTCTGTACTTTAAGAGGTACAAAGAGGTTTTTTTGACCAACTGTATAAAATTAGGGAGAGAAAAGTCTGGATCTTGAGAACTTGCTCCCTTTTGATTTGCGACAAATTTACAAAAACAAATTTGCAACTTATTACAGTGATCTTACGCTGTATTCGATATCTTCAATGTCTACAAATATCTTTACGCAAGTGCATAGCCTTTGAACGTCTTGACGCATTTAATACTACATACACCACTTCTCGGTACTTGATCTATTTAATCGTGCATTAGGAGGTCAGATTCGATGTATTCCTTGTACAGCTACTTCGAGGCACATATCCTCAATGCTCATGCAAGCTGGAGGACGTTCCAAGGATCCGTGGCCACCGCATATCCTTCGACTACTACTATTGCAGTATGGTCAGTCGAATAGATGAGCACAGCCGCCTCGTGGCGCTCGTAGTGCTCGTGGTGCTCGTGGTTCTTGTGGTATCGACGTCTACTTATGTAGTACCTAACTTACGTGTCTGGCCATTAGAACCATGAGAACTGTAGCCAGTACATGTGATTCTAGGTCCGTTGGCGTCCGTTGGCGTTTTTGCAACAAGCTTTGAGTGGTCTGCATACTCGCAGAATGATCGCCATCAGTGGCTTGGCCAAGTCCCGGCATCCCTTAGTGGATACATATCGGAATGACTTGCATGACTAGCAGCAGCTGTCACCTGCCTTCTCATCTAAGGGCATTATATTCTATTATCTTTTTTCCTTCTTCTCCTCTTCTTCTTCAATGCGTCAACATCCGAGTACTTTTCATCCATCGCCTAGAATGAGTCGTGATGCTTACTGACATGACTTGTAATAGCAAACTTACATACCTACATAAGTATATCCATACTAGGTAACTAGGTAGATAGGTATATAGCGTGTCATGGCAAGCAAGGTGGTCTCTTAGGAAATTCACCAATCAGGAATATTCTATCGATTGTAGTTGAATTTTACGTGAGGTTATAAGCTCACCTTGAACTTACATGGCCCTCGCCTCTATAAAGTGTTTCTTCAACTTCGCAAGCCCTAAATATTTCAGGGATGAGAAATTAACTTTACTATTATAGATCTATAAATGCGCTAACAGTTACAAAGGCATCACTTACATCTAGGTATACCAATACCTACTAAGTAGTTATAGATACCTACACAAGATTTAGACATGAATTGCCGGTAACAAGGCGGAAGCAACTTGTTACGTCACTGTTGATCGGGTCTCACTATACCGAATATCGAATTCTAACCCATGGGGTTGCTCCGGGGCGTTAATGCAGTATTAAGAGTCGATATAATATGACAAATATTAAAATATATTTTAATATACCTAAGTAATCATGAGTGGACTGAAAGGACAATTATTATCCATTGCATTCCAAGCTCTTGAAAACTCTTGTTCGAAATCCCATAATATTCGGCATACTCCTATGCGACGCAGTCGAGAACTTAGGTAATAACTTGTAATGTCGATTTATATCTTTTAAAGGTTGCTCGAGAAATTCGGAAGTTGGGAATATATCGTGATTCATCCCATCCCATCCCATGTGAAATCCAGCCTGTAAAATAAAAATACCAATAGGTAAATGTCTTGTTTCATTCTATTCGAAGTAGCCAATAAGGTGCTAAAGGTATTGAAACGCCCCTCTGACATGAAATTTCGCTTTTACTTTAAACGGCTTAATGCAGCAATCCCTCATAATTCCTTAATTTGTTTCTCAATTATGGAGCAACACACTTACTTATTCCTGCAAGTTGCGACTACCTACATGTATTATGTACTGCTTACACTACCTACATGTAGGTACATATGTACCTATCAATACATCTATTGTTGTCGATTTTCTTTGGTCGAATTAACTCAAAAATCTTTACAACAACAACGTTAGCAATGGATATCAACCATGTCGACAATGTCAACAATGTCAACAATGGATATATTTTTATGTACCTAGGTATTGCTTTATAAACTTTAACAATAACAAGATCCTAACTACATCGGTACCAGGTAATTTCCCCGAAAGAATCACCTGCCTCGTTAGTGTCTAGGGAGGAGCCGCAAAGATGGCTCCAAAAGATGGATGTTTCTTAGACATCTTCGGAGTACTACCGACTATTACGGACTCACTTCCCTCTTACGGTAGCCATAACTCGGAGGATCACCTACAACCTTGGATAGGTCTTAATATATCTGGATCTCTGCTGCCAGTATTTCCCACCGATCATGAACTACAACCGGCATTGGTTCATATAACTGCCACCTTCGCCACAGCCATCTTTCATGCATCGTCAAGCAACTGGACAAGCGTATGCTCCTTCAGTTTTTAATACTATGCCAGTGGCTGCATCGTGATTCTAAGTGTCCGTACGGAAATTGATCATGCATGTTAATTAGTAGCATGATATCGAGAGGGCTTCTTCTCCTTTTTAATTCGTAATCGAACCAAGATCGTACAGATCTTGCATGATGGAGTTCACTAACTAGTAACGACACAGATACCTCAAGGAGTGGGGCGTTGGACGAACTGGATAGATGCTACGCTATAATACCCTGTGTATTGTATTGTATTGTATTGTATTGTACAGCCGCCAAAACCAGCTGCTAGCTTCAATACGATATATTTTTATTAATACGTCCGGTCTCGATCTAGTCGACCCTGTCTACTTTCCCGACTAGCCTGTCGCGAGGCCTCGTTAGGGATAACCGAACTGGCGAGAGTGTGCGAGGCGCTCCAAAAACCCCTGTCCGGGGATCGACGCGGCGCTCCAGGGGCTCGTCGTTTGACTTGGCGGTACTTGGCGCCTATGGTGATTCCCTATCCAACCGTTCACCAGCTGGGGTTATTTTGCCGACTTCCAGGTCTACGAGTTCATACTCCCAAACAAGCATCTCAAATAGTAACCTTCCAAGCAAATTCTCGTAGCTTCCTACACAATGCACATGTTAGGTACTGACAAGAAATCTACTAGGCATCTAGGTAGCTGGCAACCCCATGCTTAAGGGGCAGGATCTTGATGGGGCCTACTACGTACCTACCTACCTAGTAACCATCCTGATAGTCCTTTAAGAAAAGATTTGTTCCTCGTCCTTTTAATACCATCCGTTTTCCTACCTTGTTATTTTTCTCTCTAAGCGGCCCTTCTCTGTTCATTTTTTTCCCCTTCTTCTCTTCGTCGTCACTTAGGTACCGATTTTTTTTTTCTCTTTAAAGAGATAGGACATAGAGTGGACTCTTGAGGTGCAAATTTCTCGTCTTTGTTACTCGAGCTCAACATACCTCCATCCTCGTTTCCTACTATTCTATTCCACATCATTCACTTAAACCATTATTTTCAACCCATCATCGAATCAGTGATTCGACTGGTCTTTCTTTCACTACACCGGACTGCCCACCATTACAGAAATATATTTACTGCCGGGTGCACGTTACCTGGTTTCGTTTCTTCGATATATTTATCTGGACATAGTATTCGATTCGTGGTCATCGACTACTTCTTTCTTTTAAACTACCCTCGACCTGTCTGGTACAAAAGGGGGATATATCATAAACCTTCAACATGGCACCAAGTCTCTCCACCGTCTTCACTTCTCTACTGGCCCTCGCGCCACTGGGTACCTTCGCTCACCCTATGAATGTATGGCGACCAACTGCAGAGGCCGGGACGTCGCTGGGTGTTTTCGTTAGCAATCCGGATTCAACGGGCATAGTTCCCAACTCATACATCGTGGTCTATCAAAAGAACTCTACCGACGATGAAGTACAGGCGCACCAAGCATCTGTCAAGGTGGCTGTCAAGAAGCGTAACTTGGGCAAGCGAGGGTTGGTTGGTCAGCTACTCTCGACAAAAGTTCGTACGTTTGCCATGTCAGGCTGGCGGGCCATGGCTTTGGAATCTGACGACCTGATGATGAACGAGATCAACAACATGGCTATGGTTAAGTATGTTGAAGCAAACACATATGTCCAAGCATTAGCCCTCAAGAACCAGATTAATGCGCCTACGGGCCTGGTTCGGTTAAGCCACGCTGACGCTGGGGGTTCGGGTTACATCTTCGACGACTCTGCCGGGACTGGCATCACGGCGTACATTGTTGACACGGGTATCATGGTCACTCACGAGGACTTCCAGGGACGCGCCGTAATGGGTTTCAATGCTGTCGAGAAAGAAAAGGTACGTTTCAAACATAACCCACCCATATACGTGTACCTATATACGCCGTGTGTATATATAAAGATCCCCGTACCACTTCTCTTTTCCCAGGACAAGTTGTTGAGAGACATTAAAGCTAAGGACCGAGCAATTCAAAACTAACAATACCATGTAGGCTACGGATCTAAACGGTCACGGCTCCCACGTCTCAGGCACAATCGGTGGTGCGACTTTTGGAGTGGCCAAGAACGTGAAGTTGGTTGGTGTTAAGGTCTTGGATGCTAATGGAGGTGGCACGAATGCCGATGTGATCGACGGTCTCAATTTCGTCGCATCTAACGCTACGAAGGGGAAGTCAGTGATGAACATGTCGCTTGGCGGTACCAGATCCCAAGCCGTCAACGACGCTATCGAACGTCTCTTTTCGAACGGAGTCGTCCCCGTCGTTGCTGCAGGAAACGAAGCTCAGGATGCCGCCAATGTCTCACCAGCAAGCAGCCCCAACGCTATTACTGTAGGCGCTATCGACCAGACTAGCGACAGGCGCGCAAGCTTCAGCAACTTCGGCGCGGTCGTCGACGTATATGCCCCTGGCGTGAACGTTCAGAGTGTCGGTATTGCGAATAACACCGCAAGCCAGGTTTTAAGCGGTACATCCATGGGTATGTTCTTCTCCGTCTCCCTCCCCCCCTTTTCCCATCTAGACGACGCGGAATGTTTTAGCAACGAATCTAGTAAATATATGTAGTCATAGCTAACAAGATTAATCAGCATCACCGCATATCGCTGGCCTCGCTGCGTACCTCATGTCTCTCGAGAACATCACCAACGCCACGGCAGTTTCGGATCGTATCAAGGCACTAGGTAGTGCTTCGGGAGCAACCGTCCTACGAAATGCCCGAGGCACAACCAATGTCATAGCCAACAACGGCAACCTATGAACATTTGCGTACTGGCATGATCATCCGATATTAAATTACGATCTCTTTGTTGGCTGATTAAGGATTGCGCGATTTTCGTCACCGTTGGCCATATCATCATCGTCATCGAATTGGCACGAAGCATCATATTCAATATTCAATATTCAATAGCGAAGTCAGAGAAAAGCGAGGATCGGTCCTTGACCATTGATATACATATTTAGGTACTTCTGATAGGGATGATCATGAGTACGGATAGCGAGTTATCTGTTTTCATATAGACGAGTGGCTATGCATTACAGAGATGACGAAGAAAGAAGACATGTGTATTAGACTTCATTTTCGTGGTCAACAGGCGAACTAGCGGGTTGCGCATTCTTATTACACAGTCGTGTATATTTTTGAGGAGGTAGGATATGTCTACCAAGTATATATTAAATTCATCAATACCGATTCAAAAATACGTTTTCCCTTGTAAAATATCTAGCTCAACGTAGTTGAAGCTTATGAAAAGACCTTCACAGCCAGGGTCAATAACTACTAGGTACCTTAGGTATGCTCTTATACCTCCACATAACTCTCAACGATGTACCTCACGAGCTTTTAAAAATCTTTACATTTTTCGTCGAGTCGCATAGACGAGTTGAGTAAGTTTCTACCAAGCAAATACGTAGGAAGTTGAATACCTATAGGTACGAAGCATGCCACCAGCGATTATTAATGCTTCATCACAAATTCAAACATGACGTACGCTCACCAAATCATACCTCTCAGAAGGCTATTGGGGTTTACGCAATACCTAGTGAGACATGAGACATGAGACAAAATATTGAAGCCAAGATCTTAGATGGACCACGTCTTGAGACTCTTGAAGATGAAACATATCTTGGCGGAAAAGGCCGCGAAAGCTTTATCCTGCCCAGCCCGCCGCTACCGTTTCGGACTCCGCACGATCAGATACATGCAGGTATGTAGGTAGTTTCTTGCGACTTACTAATTAGCCGTTTCTTCAACTACAAAACATCAGATCTTGTTGTGACAGGTCCTCTTGTGATATAGTCGCCGCCGCCGCCAAAAAAAAAAAAAACTTACACAAGACACACGCGTCGTTACCGCCAACGGTGCTTTTCCCCGTATCGGGAGTAAGTGTCAAGCTTAGGTATTTCTAAATCTGCATATAAAATGATAGTGAATATAGTTCCTTATAAGGTAAGCCCACTGGCCGATAGATCGTGATCCAAATACATTGGATGCCTCGAATACGACCTGGTCCGAGGAACTAACAAATAGCATTCACATTTCCGCATTACTTTTCTTCCCCTCTAATTACAATTTACATATAGATGAGTTTCTTTAATCTCCAATACCAACGGCAAGTATCCTAGCGGGATGGGTCAACTCCTTTGAGTGGTGATTGTTCAACGTATTTCTTTTTGGCTTGTAATATCAAATTACATATCAGTCGGCAGTATGTTGACGATCCACGACAGGGAACTTTCTCTTGACATTGATCAAGTTCAAAAGCCAGCCGTGTGCCTGCGAGCCAAGTTGGACTCGGTACTCCTCGTCATGTTTGGTTTAATATCAGCACTTCTCGGCACAGTCGCAGTCATTGAAATAGACTGAACTGTAATTTGACATCCGTGCTTGTTCTTCAATTTCCTTGAATTCTGAGGTCGTCACTCAGGTAGCGTGAGACTGGCATAGTACAATCTATGCATTTGAATAGTATCCATTAGTCTGTATTAGTAAGAATTCTATCAGGGGCGTAACAAAACTCGTAGAACATTCGCCATGTTTGATCCCTCCAAACATGACAGCGTAACCAGCTACTCTTCATTAGTAATCCTGTTGTTGACACAACTCGCGTTAAGTATATATCCTCGATGACGCCATGCAAACATGAAAACCCGATGTGCCTACCAGGTACACTATAATTCCTCGTGAACCAGGGGAGTTAGGGTGGGCGTTACTGCGGCCTTGGCGGCCTTGAGGGTAGAAGCAGCTTCTTTGTCCCACATGGCATCGAACCTTGCCCCGAAGTACCATGCGATACCGAGCTATTTGGACTTTGTTAGCTGATGTATAGCACGACCTATTGTTTGCGTAGATATGTCACATACCATCATACCAGATACAAACACAAGCACGAAGACGACGGCAGCGACTAATAATAGAGCTTCCCAGAAATCGTTCTGGCTCTGGTCGTTGTCCTGTCCCTGCGCATCCTGCACAGCTTGTAGTTTCTTTGGGTCTTGTGTTGGGAAGAGGGTTTCGATGAATTGCTCAATCTGTTTTCAGAACTGGGTCAGCTTTTCCTGGGTCGTTCAACGTCAACTACCACGAGAAGGCCTACCTTGCCACAAGCCACGCTGATTTCAAGGTAATGCGGATCTCTCGGGTCATTCTTCTTCGCTATCCTCCTCGCGTATGTCTTGAATACATCACACACCACCCGGAGGTTCTGCGTTGATTGCATCATTAGGTGGCATGCATCGCCCTTGGTGATCTTGATGTGGCTATAGAAGATCTTAGGGTTCTGGAAGACAAGCTCGAGTGTAGCGATAGCCATTGTTTGCGGAATTGCGACGAAATTGAAGACACTCTGCTCCTTAATCCCGGCCATGTAGAACAAGCATTCGTCCGCATGCTTCAGCGCATTCAGAACCATCTCGGAATTGCAGTTTAGGGCCTGCGTGCGGTACTTGGGGTCGAACATATCCTCCCATTTTTCGACGTACTTGCTCCATATGTCCTTGGGCCAGAATCTCCGCTTATCTTCGAAGTCTTCGTGAACATCACGAATAATGTTAGTTTTTTGCAGGAATTGTCCCATACTCTCAGAAAGCTCCATGCGGTCAAGTAGTGCAGGATTGGCCGTGTTGCCTTGGACAAAAATACGCGTCAGACCCTCTCCAACCAGTCCAGCGACGTAGTGACAGTACTCCTCATATTCGGGAACCGTCTTGACGCCTTCTTGGAATTCGGCGTTCAGGGCGTAATCAGCCATGCCGTTACCCATCTTGATGGTGATGTCTTCGATGACATCGTAGTATTTCTTATCGATCTTCTTCAGTTCTGCGACTACATCATCGAAATGGACAAGTAGTTCGCGATCCTTCTCGTTAGGCCCGCTACCGTTGAAGGTCCAACCATCCATCTTCAAATATTTGGAAAACTCGCGCAACATGGGTTCTTTAGTCTTTGCTGAAAGCGTCATGTCGTCTTCGATGGTATCTAGCCCTCTCAGGACAAGGTAGAAGAGGGCAATAGGTACAAGCATTTCTGGTTGCAACTCCTGGATGACAGTGGCGAAGCTGCGGCTCGTCATGTTTAGAAAGTGAAAGCATGATTTTAAAGTAGGTGCCTCCTTGGAGGGATCGCGACTGTGGACTGGTTCATGCCAGAGTTTCCTACGACGAGAAGCATGGAGTTAGTGACATATAACATCACTACATAGGAGCAAAGATGGATATGGTGAGCTTTGTTTACCATTGTACAATTGACCGAAGTTGATTAGGATGGAACATAAAATAGAGGACATCTTTGAGGCCACCCATTTTTGCGCTTTTGTCGAGTTCTTAGGTGGCGGTGAGCGAATACCTAGACAGGTTCGCGATGGTTAAAGGGGAAGGGAAGGTATCAAATGTGCGTCGCCACAATAAACGACGGACCACGATTTGGTATCAAAGCCTAGGACAGATAGGGTAGATCGAGATTATAAATATTCAAGATGACATCTCCATGTGTTAAAATTATTACAATAGGCAAGCTATGGTGTGAATGAAAAGAGGATGGCGTTTTGTTGTTATGATGAAAAAGATTGGAATTATTATATTTTGTAGAAAATTAGTTTTATCCTGGAGCAATGCCGACATTGAAGAGACGGGCAGAAGAAATCTAAGCTAGTCTCCACATCAAATTTCAACTACAAGCATCAGCGAATCGGCGATTGGATTGGCGGATCCGGGGATTAACCTTGTGGTCCGCTCGATTTAAAAAAGACTTTGGCTGTCTGGCTAGTTGCGACGAAGACACAATTGGTCTGATCAGCTCACTAGACCATATTAGGTAGTCAAACTAGCCCCACTGCGGGGGTTTGCATGCACATACATATACCTATCCTACAAGATAGGTAATAATGAGGTACTGCGTAGATAGGTAGATCGTATCGTTACTTACCTACCTAGTAGTATCTTCCAAAGATTCATTATTTAGAGAATCAATAGTAAATATAATATTACTTTTAAAAAGTGCCTGAGGAGGTATGTATTTTATTACTGTTATACGTATATATAAATATCATTAAGTCCATAGGTATTGGGGTAAGTGTACGGTCAAATTTGAATCCACCTGTTAGCTTCTCCAAAACTCTTGAGGGGTTACCTTGCTACATACCTACATCATCTCTATTTCTCCAAATTCACGTTCCGTTAATGCTAATTCTTTTTCTTATTAAGATTCTTAATGATTATTCACAACCCATTTTTTTCTTTTACACTATTACGAACCCGTCACTCTACCGCTCTATCGTTTTTAATATTACCATGCCGTCTTCAGGATCTATGGACCATCAGCAGATCACGGAGGTCGCAGAAAATACAGAGAGCACGCATGCCTCTACTATAATGATCGCTCCGATTGCAACAGCCCCCAGCTCATTGGTGCTTACGACGGCTAGTTAGAGCCAGCCATCGCTCGCCCTTGGATTGGCGCCATCAACCTCGTCCGTGGCTTTCAGAAACAATGGCCACAAGACAACCACCGATCTATCTACTGACCCTACCCAGCCTATCCAGCCCACCGAGGATGTCCTGTCGGGAAATACAGGCAGCTCTATCACCACCGGCACTAAACGAGCTGCTCCGGATAATACCCTTGATTCAGCTGATTCTGGTGTGAAGCGTGTGAAGCGTGTGAAGCGCTTCGCAACTTGGAAGGAGGCATTTCAGCCCATTGTTGATTCGGTACCATCCGAGGATGCACCCATCCCGGTTGTTCGACGGTGGTTCCGCCAAATCGGAGGCCTACATGGAATAGCTCGTCGAGAGCTTCTCGAACTTCGTCGGATGTGTCTACTCGGCCACAACTTGCGTCAGGCTGACTATTCTGACCTGAAGGATTACTTGGTATCCATTTCTCAAGGGGATGGATCTCTCCGCAGTATGTATCATCAAAGAAATTCTTATTCTTATTAATATTATTTTCGTCTTGCGATTGATACTTTTGTTAACATATTATTAGTGCACGCATCTATACTTGCAGCTAGCGCATACGAGGCAGTATGCTTGAAGAAGGCTATGGAGGCAGAAGGCCTCAAGACAAATATAACGAAGGTAAGTGTTGTTCTACCGATTTTTTATAGATAAATTCAAGCAATAAATATTAATCCATCTCTCTAGGGTACCCAAACTAGCCTTTACTAGAGTTTCATTCTGTGTCCTGCAAATCATTCTGGACATTAGACGGCCTTCATTATCTACATCCAAGTCGACATACAGTTTTTATTGTGTCACGACCTAATTTGTAGTACAATCCTTGTTCGACCAGGACACTTGCATCCCTTTTCTAGGACAGCCAGCCAATATGGGCCTGTTTATACATCCATGGATGTTGCCATCTTGGGGGGTGAGCTAGTCTCAGCATCTCGTCGGTCTTCCTCTATCATTTTCCTAAGTCTATTAGCTGCATACACACGGTGGAACTGGTTAAGTAAATGACTATCGTGTAATACATTCACACGTTATATGAGACTTTCGTATTACATCGGTAAAAAACGACGAGCTATAGGGACTTGTCGCTCTCGAGTGACTTGTATAACAATATGAAACAGATGACGAGGTTTTACATTGTAATTCAATGATATCTCATTACTTACAACGATTACTCGTGCCATTTAAACATTTTAACATCCATGTTTATTTTTTAAAAAAATTATTTTACTGTTAACATATCTCGTTTATTTGAAGTTTACCTTATAAAATCATATCTTAGATTTATATAAATATGAAAAGCCCCCATTTTATTAGGTATGTACATATTAAGGTGGTTACCTACCTATTACCAACAATGAAGTACAAAAATGCCGATCAGCCGGAACCTACTACACCACCAAGACATTTTGCCCCTCCATTAGCAATTAACAGACTCTCAAAAGGGGCAAGCTACGGGCCTACCTAATTAGCACTTAGCACTACGTGTCTTACCATAACCTAATCTTCCTCCTTCCGTACTTCCAAGTTCCATATTTCCATATTTCCATACATGTACATATTTATACTGACTCTAATTTATATTTGCTACTGATTTGGTCTCGTCCGTTCTTTACCTTGGATTGAACATAATTATTTCATGCTTTTTTTTTTAAACTCCCTCCAAGCCAACTGGTTATCTACAAATGTATTGTATCTGAGTAGTCAATTGGATTGGTTCTTCGAAGTTCCTTACCTACCCTTAGTACCTACCATATTAAGCTAAACTGGTATCCTCTCGCTTGCTTGTCGTCTATGCCGTCCCGAACTATCACGGTCCCTGGTGATAACGTCAATACAATGAACATACCTGCAACGGAATGCCATAGCTCCAAAAGAACCAGATTTCTCATCTGGGGTGGTGGGGGTTGGATTGCAGGCCATCTGGAGAAAATTCTAAAGGATCAAGGCAGAGAAGTATTCACGACCACTGTCCGTATGGAAGATCGTGAGAATGTTAAGGAAGAGCTGGATAGGATCAAACCTACCCATGTTTTGAACTGTGCTGGTTGCACCGGTCGCCCCAATGTCGATTGGTGCGAAGATCATAAGGAGATGACGATACGTTCCAATGCCACCGGGACCTTGAATCTAGCAGATTGCTGTTTTATCGCTGGAATCCACTGCACCGTGTTCGCCACTGGCTGCATTTATCATTACGACGATACCCATCCCATTGGAGGCCCTGGATATAAAGAGACAGACCCGGCCAATTTCACCGGTAGTTTCTATTCCGAGATCAAGGGCCATGTCGAACAGGTGAGATAACGCTGTCGGAGGCGACACTAAAAGAAAGTAGGAAGGTTAAGCTGATTGGCTTGCAACAACTTATAGATCATAAAATACTATACGAATTGTCTCGTCCTCCGCTTGCGTATGCCGGTGTCAGATGATCTACACCCGCGCAGCTTTGTTACGAAGATTAGCAGGTATGAGCGTGTGGTCGACATCCCGAATAGCAATACGATCTTGGCTGATCTTCTGCCGGCATCTATACTGATGGCTGAACATAACGATACTGGAGTTTATAATTTCACCAACCCGGGAGCTATCAGCCATAACGAGGTGCTGTCACTCTTCAAGGAAATCATTCGTCCAGATTTCACGTGGAAGAACTTTAGCGTAGAGGAACAGGCCAAGGTGCTCAAGGCCGGGCGCAGCAACTGCTTGTTGGAGACGACGAAGTTGGAAAAGAAGCTGGAAGAATATAACTACTCGGTGCTTGAGGTTCATGAGGCTTATAGACGGTGCTTTGAGAGGATGAAAGCTGCAGGGGTTAAATAAGCTTGTTAAGCTTGTGTTGGATCTTCGACGGTTAGAACCTTGAAGGCAGCTAAAATGGATCTAGCTTTACACGGTGTACTGCATATGTATATTCACCTTTTCGTAACGTACCTACTAGGCAGGTAGGCCATTAAACGGTGTTAGGGATAGACGGAGTTAATTACATTTTAGTTACTTTTACCTACATAAGTTACATACGGCGAGTTTTTTTTCTTTTATCCCACGAGAACGCTTATGTATGTAAGTAATGCTGTACCTACCTACTAATACATGTAGGTATAAATCTCAATATACATACAAATATACCTACATGTAGTATAGGTACCTAGAATATCATGGGATAATCGAGACTGCCAGTTGGGATCTTTACGACCTATCACTTCCAGAAATGGCAGGGCAGGTATTTCCTACTAATAGTCCAGTCCTAAGATAACCCCGCCATTACATATACTAAATACTTCGATGCTACTTGCGTGCATCTATAAATAGGTACCTATATGTATCTAGTATCTACATGCATGTAGGTAGGCACTACTAGGTACTTAGGTATACGAAGTACGAGACGTATAATAACGTACCTATTGACGTACATGACAAAACATTCTTCAAGTGGTTATGAAGTCTTGTCCTATCTCGTTATAGCAATTATCTATTGGATAGACTGGATATGTCCTTGACGAGACGAGGTGAGTATCTACATACATATACGTGCTTACTTATTCAGTAGGTACATGCAGGTATTGTACATATCCATTAGAATTAGTGGCTGAGATCTCGCACTTCCTACGGCTTCTAGGTTCTATCTTAGAAGGCAGGTGCCTAAAAGGGTACCTACCTGTATATAATTAACAATGTGGCACTGTAACGCTATGCCACATAGGGATCTTTTATGGATACTTGCTGGTACTAGCTATGAATGTACCCAACTATGTACGCAGTACCTAATTGAGGGCTGATCTAGGCTGACATTCGTCATAGTTTATTCTTTTTTTTCCCTTTTCCGTTTGCCATTTACTTACTACCTGACGTCTAATTGTTCCGTCTATCTTTTTGGACCCAACTCCTGAAAATAATATACCCAATTCTTTTCTAACATTCGTCGAGCCTTGAATCCCTCTCCCCCCTCATCGTGCTTCATCCTATCTTGAAAGTTCATTAGTGACACCCCGCGCATCCCATCATCCTATCAATTTATCATCCTATCGTCGATCAAATCCCCGCAACTTCATACAACAAAGTTACCCTTCAATCCCCTCGACGCCTTTCATTCCCTTTTGCGACAAGTAAGAGGAATTATGGTGGTTGATACGGCATACTATGATGTCCTAGGCGTCAAGCCTACTGCGACAGAGCTGGAAATCAAGAAGGCCTATCGCAAGCTTGCCATTGTCCATCATCCAGGTTCGCGCATACGGCATTTCCACACCAACTCTTGGAGCTTTGCTAACAAATTCTATACAGACAAGAACCCAAATGATCCGACTGCCCATGAAAAATTCCAGGATATCGGAGAGGCTTACCAAGTACTTTCAGATTCTGATCTAAGAAAAGCCTACGATAAATATGGCAAGGATAGTGCCAAGCCTACCGAAGGCTTTGTTGACCCCTCCGAGTTCTTTAGTAGCATATTTGGCGGTGACGCCTTCGTCGACTGGATTGGCGAGATTAGCCTCATGAAGGACCTTACTACTACTATGGACATCACCATGTCTGGGGAAGAAGGTGAGGATGACGACGCCGAATTCCCTGGTACAGAAGAAGCGATGCGAGAAAGCGCGAAGGCGTCTGCTGCCGCCGGCACACCGCCCACTGTCATCATCGAAGACGAGCCTGAGAAACCGGCCACCGAAGGCAAGACCGCCGCAAATCATCACCAAACATCATCGGAGAAGTCCAACTTACCCCCGCGCGTCGCTTCACCGTCTCCCAGTGCTTCTGGTGTCTCGACTCCTGGGGCTCCTACACCCGGTAGCTCAACACCCGGTAGTTCGACGCCTTCGAGACATGCCATACCAATTAGGCCTGCGCTTATGGACCGCCCGGCAGATGAGGCGCACTTGATGGATCAGACGGAGGAAGAGAAGGATTTGAGAAGGAAAGAAAAAAAGAAGGGCGGATTAACTAAGGAACAGCGCGAACAGCTAGCTGCATACGAGAAGGAGCGCGCCAGAATCCGTCAAGAGCGTGTCGACACCCTCACTCGCAAGCTTATCGACCGTCTCTCAGTATGGACCGAGACGGATAAAGGCTCTGACGTTACTAAGGCTTTCCAGGCAAAAACCCGTCTCGAGGTTGAGAATCTGAAGATGGAGAGTTTTGGACTTGACATTATGCATGCCATCGGTGCCGTCTACTTATCGAAAGCCACGGCTCTTCTTAAATCCCAGAAGTTTCTTGGTATCGGTGGTTTCTTCAGCCGTATGAAGGACAAGGGTGCCCTTGTCAAGGATACCTGGAATACCATATCCTCCGCCATCGACGCTCAGCAGACCATGGAGGAAATGGCACGTATGGAGCAAGCTGGTGGCGAGGACTGGACCGACGAGAAGAAGGTCGAATATGAACGCAGAGTGACCGGCAAGATCCTCACCGCGGCTTGGAGAGGCAGCAAGTTCGAGATTCAGAGCGTTTTGCGTGAAGTTTGCGATACTGTGCTCCATGACAAGAAGGTGCCATTAAACAAACGATTAGAGCGCGCAGAAGCTCTGGTACTTATTGCCGACATCTTCCAGAAGGTATGCACTGTTCCCCACCCCCAACAAAATTTTGAAGCCTATCTATCTACGTCTTTTAAAAAGTTGTATGCTTACTTAGGAACCAACAGGCTCAGAGGACACCCGAGGAAGAAGGTGACTACATGGCTTTCGAACAGTTGGTTGCCGAGGCGGCTATCAAGAAAGAGAAAGACTCTAAGAAGAAAGGCAAAGACAAGGATAAGGACTCTACCAAGCCAAAAAGCACCAGCGCGGCAGAAGCAGGCAACATTCCTGCCGAAGCGGACAAGGAAAGTGCCTAGCGGATGACGTGACGCTGAGGGTTGACAGCCTCCAGAAGGCTGTACTAGAAGTGAGCATGTGTCGGGGGAGACTCCCTGGTCGCCGGAGAAGTTGAGACAAGGCTCAACCTTTGTGTGCGTGTGCTAGCCAAACGGTTTGGCAGGTTTGCGTTGGACAGAAAATAGGAAACTAACAACCTCGAGTTGCTAGTGAATCGAAAGGACGAAGAAGGGCATAAGGATGTATAAGTGTTATGACACTTAACTCCGTGGAGGACAGATCATAAAGACGTCGATGATTGTAAATTGATCTGCGGGGCGGCTTTGGTAAGAGACGGAAGAGCTCTCCTAGTTATGAACGCCCACATCATCTCTACTCAGAGATATAATTCACCGTCCCTGGAATTCACCGCCTGGTAGAGATCTCTGCTATCAAGTCGCTTGTGAGAAAGGCATGACTATTCATTTAAAGGCAAGTAATTATAAATATATAATACCTAGGTAGGTAGGCAATACCCTTCACCCAACCTTTCGCCTCGAAGCACGAAAGATGGTTTCTTGAAACGCGACAGTTACTTGGGTAGGTACCTAGATAGGCAGAGGATCATGAGAAGACTTCAATACGATATTTATAGAATAACTTGAATTGTATTGTGTTGCTTTGCTGAAGCATCAATTGCTATGCGGAGTCTCATGCATGCTAGACTGTTATCAACCCGCCGACCTGATTCATCCGAGCACTTTTTGGTGGGTAGCCTCGATTGCATACACCCCTGAAGGCAATACCTTCATGTAGTCGACATATGTATGTATCTGGATACCACCAAAGAAAAAAGATCCTGATAGAACTCGCGTTCACCCTTCTTTAGGCGTCTACCTCTCATCCTTTCTATGTTGGGCGTGTGTACTCTTCGGCTTCCTGATTCATTATTCTGGGGTATCATTATGAGACTTGGGTAGGAAATTTTGTTTCTGTCAATGTGGTGTGGAGATTGGTCTACTGACCCTGCGCCTTTCCGTGATGATTTTTGGGGTATCCGTTGATGTTACAGTTGATACAAAGAAAATGGTGATTGTGGAATCCAATGAATAATGAAGCGGCTCCGTACGGTGATATAACCCCGAAGCTGTTGCAGTTGGTGTCTTATATGTTGTAAACGAATCGTATCCAAAATAGAAAAAAGATATATATCTGTCGTAAGAATATTAGTATGATCTAGCTGCGAAATACTCGCAACCTTCAGACTCTAGCCTCCATCAGCAGGGAGTTCTATGCCGCTATCCCTATCCTGCCGCTCAAAATTCCAACCTGCTAACCTTCCTGCACCTTCTAGAGACTTCTCGTCGAGTATTTCATCGAGCATCGAAGAGGTGTCATCGCGAGAACCATCCGAAGTTAGGGGTCGATCGTCATCATCGTCTAATGGATCTACTACTAGCACTCTTCCACCTAATTCAACATCACTAGCTCTGATATGTGTCTGGAGAGCCTTCTTGCCTTCGTTGATGAGCTCCTCCGTCCAGTCTAGACACCTTTTGATGCTCTGATTTATCTTCTGCGAGTCGATGAGTAGTTGCTGATGTTTAGATAAGTCAACTTGTAGTCGTTCCTCATCTCGTCTTCTATGTTTTGCGTCTCGTTCCGCGACGATACTCGGGCTAAGGGATCCAGATGCTGAATCGCTCTCTAAAGACGACTCCTCTCCACCATCCTCCTCGTCCTCCTTTCCCTCCTTCTCCTCTTTTTCTACTTCGGACTGTTCGTCGAGGTCGGAAAGGACCATCGTCCCTATCGCATGCTCTGAAAAGACATCCAATGATGTTCGGCCAGAAAGAGTAGATGGCAAAGAAAGCCGGCCGGCACGCGACAAACGTCGAAATCTTCTCAGCTCTGCCGTTTGCTTCCGCAGTTGGCGTTCTAACGTCCTGTTGATAGCCTCGAGAGATGCATTTGTAATCTGCAAGTCCTGAACTTTGCGTTCGCGTCTCGCATTTGCAACTAATTCATTGACCGGTTCCGTGGAATGAACTGATTTGGTGGGGCTTTGCAAACCGGATCCAATTTCATCTGGCATTTCGGACTCTTCGTCCTCTGCAAAATCCTCGGCCGCTTGTATTATCGAAGCCAGAGTTAAAGGAGCGGGCGTGGAAGGCACAGTTATAGGAGGAGATGCCTCTGGCGACACGTGAGCGCTCATCAGCTTCGGGGTAGCAGAAAACTGGTCTCCTTTCACCAAACTTCCAGTGCGAGAATGTCCGCCTACTCGCGACGTACCGGTACTAGATCGACGGAGTCCAGGGGACGGCCCTAACTGGGGCGCAGTTAGAACCTGCTGACGACCTGTATTGTTGGGTTTAGATGATGCTTGTGGGACTTGAGATGACAACTTTGCTGGAGAGCTGGGCCTCTGCGCAAGAGCGTGGCTAGCGCCAGGGGGGTTTGTTGTCGGGCGCGTAGTAGATGGCTTAGGAGCTATCGATACTACCGAACCCGAGCTACGAGAGATCGGAGGTGTCGGGGTATGTCGCATCTCTGGGGTCCCATTGGCATACATAAATTTGCTGGAGATATTATCTTGCGAGTGGCTAAGGCTGGCTGTGAACGAAGTTGGAGAAGTAGGTTTGTTGTTCTCTATCGTGTTGCCGTTGGCATAAAAAAATGTTGGACCTTTGGCTTGGGCTACCTTGGAGGAAGATGTTGGGCGGGAAGGCTTTACATCGCTCGCATGGAAGAATTTGGATTCCGAATTATGAGATGCATCGTATCTTCCATGCCCACCCGCATCGGGCGAGATAGAGCTGAAGGAAGCGGCCGACCTCCTCATGGCGTCTCCGTCGAGTCTTGGACTCGGTAGACAGAAACTAGACCTAGGATCCCAAGGTTCTGACCGCTCCGGGTTGGGAGTACCACTCGGCGTGCTATTAGCACTGTCAACACGATTTTGTCTCGAGCCAGAACGGGGGGTGACGTTGCTGCTTAGGTGAGGAACGAACGAGGAATCCTCGATGTAGACTGACCGGTTGGATGGGGTTTCTCGGCTAGCGGTAACTAGGGCAGGGTGTTGCTGACGCCGATTCGTAGGCGTTGCGATAGTTGCTAAGGTGGACGTTTGCTGTGTCTTGGAGGCGATCTTAGGCGTTAGGGGATTCCTATTCACGGCCCTTGCGGCGGCGGCGCTGAGAGATGGCATCTGCGCTCTATTCGCGTTCGCATTTGATTGTGGAGGCGGGGATGAAGGTGCGTCGTAGGGCATATTTCCTGTTCCTAGCTCCTTCAAAGGTAGCCCTGTAACAGGTCCAGCATTTTGGTCTCGTCTCCTGAGGACTGCTCTTGAAGACGCGGAGGATGATGAAGCAGCTGTTGTTATGGTAGTCTTGGCGACCGTGGCGGTTGTGGTAGTAATTATTGTCGGTCTTGTCTTTGCCCCTGTTCCTGTGCCCGTACTGAATCCTGTGCCCTTGCTCGTACCCGGACCCTTACTCGTTGTCCTGGATCCAATTGATGTTAGAGATTCGGTAGAAGGTAACCTTTTCAAACCCGGTTTGATTGTCGTCGATTGGCGGTATGAATTAGGAGCGCGTGTGACTAGAGGCTGTTGTGTGAGTTGTATGTACGAGGGAGGAAAGTCGCGTTGTGCTTAGTTTAAAGAGTTAATTATTCGGTATTACGAACCCATGTTTGGTGTGCATACGATGAAGGCTGAACGGAGGAAGGTCTCCACTTATACATGAGACAAGTCTATCCAAGCCTATCCAAAGCCTAAAAGACAGCTGCGACTGAACTAAAGAATGTACTACCTAGAGGTAGTGTAAACGTTTTAGGTTCGCGGGAAGCTACCGACGGATACAACGATACCGCTACTCGATGTATATATACGATAGAGATAAATAATTATAAGACCTCGGAAGTTGTCTGTATGTAGATAGATACCAAGGGAAGACGGGAACATTTGAAGAAGCGTTAATCGGCAATAGGAGAGGGTGGGAAGAGAAAGAAGAAATGACTTAGATGAGGAACATTGGATTTTTTTTTTCTTCAGAAATTTAATTTGAGTGCATACCTACCCAAGAGAAAGGGGAAACATACATAAATGCCCCAGAAAAAAATATGACGTTCCGTGTTTTCTAAACATACGTCTAAATACATATGTTTTCGTGTTTAACGTGTGTAAATCTACAATTACTCCCTTCTTGTCAGTTAATATGGAGATTGTTTATTCATGCGCTAGCATAGGTTGTGCTATGAAAATGCCCACCAGTTCCCCCGCAGTTCATAGTTAGGGGGGGATTTAATAACAAGAGTACCTATGAATAGGAACTATTAAGGTTGACATGTGGACTAAATTTAACAGCGCTGTCCCCTGTAAACTTTGATTCGAACCGTGCTCTAATTGCACCACTACCTGGCGACATTCCTTTTTTCCCTTCTATCTATCGCGATCTATCGGCTAGAGCCGCGGCCGGGATCGTCTGTACAACATGAGAAGTCAAACTTTGAACGACTGAAAATTTCAAATATTCTTATCTTGGATTAAGTTTTGAAAAAAAGAGTTTCGGAAGTCATCTACACCTAGCAGTCTAAATCTAGCAAAAAAATTATTACAAAAACATTACGCTAGCCACTACAATCTTGTCCGCATTCGGTCTGTAACGACCATAGAAAAAGAAAGGAGGAAAGGGGTTGTATCACATACCGCCATATTGCGGTTATGGCACTCGTAGGCCTGTCGTTAATTTTGGCGTCTGTGGTCTACGCTGCCATCTGGAAGCCGCCATTTATCCAAACATTACTGGCGATATGGCGAGGCGACCCAAAAATACAACAGCCGCCAACAACACGTCGTCCTACTCGAGCAGAGGCGAGGACAAGGGGGGAAGATGAGTTTATTGCGATAGGAACAAGGAACGACGAGCCTTTAAACTTACCGGTGCCGGTAGAAGTGGTAGTAACGACAGAAACAGCCGACCGAGCAGCCATGCCACCTCCTCCTCTCCCATCTCTCCCTCCCAAGCTCACAACACAACCGCCTCATGACGAAACGAGCACATCCCCGCAAACAACGCCTAAGGCGGCACCCTCAATAAATTTAGATGGGGATAGTATACCCTCATTCTCCCTCTCCGCCTCCCCACCCGCCTCGTCCGCCGCCATCGCGCGCCACACCGAAGCCCAAACCGTACCTGCCGTCCTCCCTACTCTCACTGCGCCCTCTCCTCCTCAAACTTCGGTGCCAGCTCTTGCCGCGCCTACACTAGGAACCATGCGACCACCACCCCGTCCTCCTGTACCCAACAACCTAAACAATAGCCCCAGTAGCGGCGGCTCCCTCCTCGGCGTACCCTCTCGCGGTCCCGTTCCAAATCGACAGCACCAGTACGATCGACAGCCAGGTAGCTCAACCCTTGCGCCACCTCCCACACACAGCAGTAAGCCGGCTAAGCCGTCGCGCAAAGTGACATTGGAGCCCGGCCGGAGTCCATTGGACTGGGCGCGTCTGGCTAACCACCCCTCCTCCGACCTAAGGAACCTTGGTCCCGGTGCGCCATACCTGCGCGTGACGCCGAGCATGCTGCGACGACAGACAGGACGTAAGGGCAAGGACGCCTGGACCGCGCTGGGAGGTCGTGTGTACAATATCACGCCGTATCTTCCTTTCCACCCAGGCGGGGAGCCCGAGCTGCTGCGTGTGGCTGGGCGCGATGGGTCGAAGCTCTTTGGTGAGATACATCCTTGGGTTAATTATGAGACGATGCTGTCGAGTTGTATGATTGGGTTGCTCGTCGAAGAACACGAGGCTAGGAGTACGGGAGACATGGATGCTATGGATTAGGTCGCTTTGTATGTCTAACTACGTGCTCCGAGTGTAAATTTCAAGTTCGAGAAGAGAGGAAGGAAGATGGGGGTTGGGAGGGGAGTTAATCATTAATCACGACAACGACATGGCGGTGGAGAAGGTAGAGATAAAGCATGGCATGGCATGGCGTCGGTCGGGCATTTACTAGAACGGCGAGCAAATAGGCAAAGGCTCATCTTCACAATCGGTTAGGATAGTTCAGGTAGATCCATCACTTTCATAGTTTGCTCGTGGCAAGGCTAGCAGCTAGGTATACAAATGTGATACCCATATAGAAATCAGGTACATCAGCAGAAGATAGGGGTGGCATATATTGAGCTAATAAATCCATTATCTCTTCCCAAACCTGAAGCGCAGTCCGTCATCACTCTCATCATCACTTCCAGCGATGAATCCGAGCCGAGACCTCTTCGCCGGGTGCTCCTTGGCAGGGGGTGCCGGACGTTTGGATGTTCGAGAAGGCTGTGTTTTTGCAGATGTGCTCTGTGATGTTGTTTGCGACCCCCTAGTTGTTCTAGTTGTTCGTGCCCTTGATGCAGGAGCTTTGACAACATCCTCCTCGTCATCCATATCATGGTCTTCACGGATCTCATCGTCACTACTGTCAACCGCGGGAAGAATCGCGGTGGGTAGCTTCTTCTGCCTTTCTAGTTCCTTCGAGCGCCTATTTGTGTTTTCCTTTTCACCTGTACTCTGACTCTCACTATGTGTCTGACTCTGTTTCTTCCTCTTCCGCTGTTGGCTCTCATCTTCTAGCCAGTAATCATCGCCAATACCGAAGCCCTTCGTCTTGACTTCTTCGAGTGCTACGATAATTTTCTGTGGTGCCCGTCCCGAGGGACCTCGTCGCTGCTTGAACTTCTTGAAATTCTTCCGCCCGTTCCATGCAGGATCCCAACGACCATCGGCTATATCCTGTTCCCGTGTGCGCACGGCCGGTATTTGCCGCACTTCTATCGGTTCCTCGATATGTAAACGGCGGATTTCTGCCAAATCAAGGTCTTCCGGCACCATGGCAAGTTCCTCTCTCTCTGCCTTGGCCCGAGCCTCGGCTTCCTCGCGGTGCTGTCGCGCCAGATCAAGAACATCAATCTCTTTCTTAATCTTTGGGGTTTTAGCCTTGGGGATTTGCGATTCCATTACAGGAGCTACTGGTGTTGTTTGTCGAGGTAAAGGGTCCTCTCCGGCAGCAATGCGACGACGTTTAACCTGCGCTGCTGTAGGAGCAAAACTGTCTATCGTATCCTGAGACTCCGGTGGTACTGGAGCACGGCGCTTTCGTTGCGATTGTCGGTTAGCGGGGGTGGGTTCCTCCGGTTCTTCTGGTGCAGCGTCTTGCGACACGAAAAGACCTTCTTGCGATGACTCTACGTTTGCTGTTGGAGGCGCTATGATAGCCGGGGCGGCGTCTGGGAAGTCATCATCGTCCAGATCTACGTCAAAACCTTTGAACCGACTTTTAACGGGACCTCTCGCCCGTCTTCGTGGTGGGGGCTTTTGCTGCTGAGCTGAAGGTTCATGCTCGTCTATTTCCATGACATATTGCGCCGTCGGAGGTGGTTGTTCGGCTCGTGACGTACGAGTCGATGTATCGGCCTGGAGAGGCCGCCGTAAGCTACTAGCGTCGTTGTTGAGGATGGCATCAAGGAACTCCTTCTGTTCGATGAGCCGTTGGTCTAGTCTCTGAGAGATGGATCGGTAAAAGTTGTTAAACCATTCCATAGGAGGATCAGGGATCCATCTAACCACGACAACACCTTTACCTTCACTCCCGTCTTCGAATTCTCCTAAGCCTTTCTCTCCAGCGATTTCCTTCGCATACCTGATGAAGTCGTCGATATTTGTCTTTTCCTCGACAGCTTCATGTAACAGTGCTTTGCCTCCACCATTTGCTATAGGCCCCAACAGGTTGTCGTATTGCTTCTTATTGTAGAATATAAATGTATAGCCATGAAAAATCTCAGCGCGGTTGGGATCGGGAGCGAAGGCTTCTACAGGTCTTGGCATTACTTCATCGCCCGGCGGTGGGAGGAATTGTATGGCATCTGGCCAGTTTGCGTCGAAGTCTCCCTCCAATGCACTAGTAACCACACCATCACCGACATCTTCAGGTGTTGCAGCAGTAATGATGGTGTCATAAAACTTCGAAGTAACGAGGTAGCGACCGTTGACAAGGGCTTGGAGTGTCTTTGGCACATTCCTTTTCTTTGATACTACATGCGTGGTGGCTGGGTCGTAGTCGGCAAGAAACTTGATATCAAGTTGCTCAAGGTCTTCTCGGAGCTTGGATAAGGGATTCGCTTGTATTTCTTTGGCGGTGAAGGAGAAGCTCAATACGACGGGAAACCAGGTGATGCTAAAAATACAAACTTGTTGGTAACTAGGTACGTAAATAAATCGGGGAAGGGGGGTAAGAATACATACCGAAATTTGGACGTGAACGAGCCCATCTGAAGGACATTAACATCCTGAGAAAGAATACGCTTTTCACCCTTGACTTTTTCGTTGTTGATCCATGTTCCGCCTTTGGAGCCCAGGTCTTCGACAGTAACACGCGAACGCCTTGAGACAATTTCCTAACACCTTTATTTAATCAAAGATACAATTGTTCAAATCTTTAGGACGGCATACCCCATCTCCTTCGGCTACCTCATCAACTTGGATGGTAACGTGTTTGCGAGACACTCTCTCGGCGCCTTCTCCTTTAATAGCAAGTTGGCCAGCTATTTTCTCATTAGTTGCCGATGACCTCATAGGCATGATATTCGTATGAAAGGAATCGCATACGTTCCGCAACAGTTCGGCCAAAGAGGTATCGCTTTCCGGGTCGCAGCCAAAGCCGCTTACCTTGATAATGATAGTTATGTCAGTACTTAAGAACAATAAGTAAAGTGGTGAAAGACATAGATTCTTACCGTCAAGAGCTTCGTCTTCGTTCTCCAAAAGCCACATAATTGACTTAAAGCTCGGTTGAAGGCATAGACAAGTCCGTAACGAGGATTTAAAGTGGTTACAGATACAAACCTAAACGAGTACCTAGTGGGGCGAAAAATGATAAAATGATGCAAGAAACATGAGGAGGGTAGCTCAAAGCGTGTTGGAAACGCGAAGGAAACTCGTTATCACGTGCTACGATGTGAGTGCCTAAGTCGGTGTAGGTACATGGTATGTACCTATACATACCTACTTACAGAGTTTCCCACCCTGTACCCCTGCACTGACAGGCTTAAAACGGATATATGCAGCGACATGATATGTACATTTCTATAAATGATATTTGTAACCTTGACCTTGGAACCTTGAACCTTTGGTCCTTAGGTAATATCTAATTCCTAAATATCATAATTATACCCAGTTTCTACTAGTAAGCTGAAAAGTCTACCCGAATAAAGGGTTTATGCTGCGTAGAACATGTCAGAATATATCAAACTATCGATGAAAATCTTCTATGCATTTCATTTCCAATGGCTTCTCGAAGATATTTTAATACAGCATTTGCCCTATGAAAGCGGCATCGGTATGACGTGAGCGACGATGAGATCCCAGGAGCCAGCTGAGAATTGTGACTAGGGGGACTCAAAGCGAAGACTACCATTATGAGTCTAAGGGCCGGCGATCAGGTTCATATAATATATAATTACCTGTTCAGGTGCGTACTCCCTATTTACTCCTTTCCGAATCATTAGTTCGCATACCGCCATCACCTGAGGATTCTTGATTCCTTCATCATAGATCTACGACTATTACACTGCCTCTGAAATCGACTTGCACCATGCGAAGCGCTTTTAGCACATATGCCCTTAGGGCCATTCTAGGGGGCTTGTTGTTCTCGGCTGCCCATGCACAGATGAGAGTCAGCAGCTTTGATGGTAACGTCACAGATGATGAGTTAAAATCATTCAACGACTTCGTTACTACGCTAAAGCCTGGCACATCCAACAAGGGCAATGAGTGGGCGCAAGGACACAGCGGTGAGCAGACAAAGGCAATGGGTCTCGTCTACCAGATAGCTGGAGAAAAGGAGACTCTCGACCAAATGCTTCGCTTTTGCGACGCCGTCTTATCGGAGAGAAACGACCTAGCGAAAGCTCCAGTAGGCCAGCACAAGATTTGGACCGGAGGAATTGATCCTGTCTGGCCGAACGATGTTACCAAGACACCAATCGCCACCGGCGGAGAGCAAGGCGACCCGGTTGGACATCTAGCTAGCTGCTCCTACCTTATTTTAAACACGAAGAAGCTCTACAACCAGAAGGTTGCTACAGGAGATCCTCACAACTATGGCGCTACCTACTTAGAGCGGGCCAAGACCTATCTCAAGCAAGCAGATGCTTCGATGAGCAACCACATCCTAAAGCGGCTTCTAGACGTTTCGGACGGGAACAAGATGTATTTCGCTAAGGATGCGCCTTACATGGGCGGGAAAGCTGTCCCCTGGAACCAGCAGATGATGTTTAACTACGCATTCCTGAACCTTGTCAACGCGCACAAAATCCTCAACGACAACCCTACACTGTTGAACAAATACAAGTCGCTCATCAGCGCTAGCATAGAATGGTTCTTCCACGGCGGAGGCGCTCAAGCTAAAAAGAGCAAGAAGGGCAACCCTATCTATGATTGGGGTTATACCATGCCGAAGACGAGCGGAGAGGACTCCAACCACGGCTCGCTTGACGTTGCTGGGTTTGCCCGTACTTTTATTGACGGTAACTACGGTATCACGGCCGACCAGATGAAGACCTTGGCCAACATGTTTGTCGACGTTATGACTCTAGGAGATAAGAAGTATGCCGGAACCGTGGACGGCCAGTCCAAGAGTGGACACGCCTCGTCTACCACCTCTGTCCGCACCGGATATCTCTTTTTGGCGGAATTCCGACCGGATGCCTATAAGTCCATGATGTCTGCGGATCTCGCAGTTGGTAAGACCACCAAAAGCACCGATGGGTTCTCCCGTTTCTTGTGGGTGAAGCATCGGCTTGCGGATACAAAATAAGTCGGGATGTCCCAAAAGGGATATTATTCAAGCCGAGTGTTATCTTGTGAGATGTATTGAAAGGTATACCTCGCAAATTCCTATATACCATACCTACCTACCTATACATGTACATTCAAAATCTAAATGGCATATTTACACACAGCTGCTATCGAATGAGCTTTCGTGAATTATAATAGATGACTAGTAAAAAAACTATCTGATCATAATACATGTTATATATTAAATTGACTTATGATTTATCTATGCCAATATTTCGGAAGTCCTAGAAGTCCTAAGAAGTCCTATATATAGGTAGCATGCAGTCATATCATGACCCAGTTATTCCTTTGGCGTCATCAAAGGCAGATAAACACCTACTACCTAGGTACCTAGGACTAGGTAATATCTTTCCTCCCACAACATGAAATATCAACATACCCTTACGAAACCATCTCCAATTCTGTATCATCGGATCCGATGCTAGAAAGTATGATAGCGAAAGTTGGATCCTCGGTTTCATCTGCATGCACATCCATTTGCGTGGCTGCCTGCTTCTGGCCGCTCGTGGGGGCGTATTACTGTCTCAAGTTCTCAATTAAAGCAGCCGAATCGACTATTGAAGCTGGCTACGACGTTTATAACCGCCGTCGGATTAGAACCCGCCGACTTCCCAAGTCAAAGCCATTATTAGCTACAGCATCATCGTCACCACAGACAGCTACGTATCCTCCAACTGCGAGAGCCCGGACATCGTTCCTTCACCTACCGCCCGAGATTCGCCTCCACATATATCGGCTTGCGCTCGTAGGGCCAGCTATCGTGCAAGTCCGCACTCATTCCTCGTTCTGGGGTCCACGGCCCGCCGGCTGGGACTCTGCGCAAGGCATCCGCGACGATACCGACGCGCCGAGCAATGCGCTACGGTGCATCACCGGACTAGGTGGATCGGGGCTTCATCAGCTAGTGTCCCCTCCTAGCCATGGCTGTGTGCGATATCACGCGGTATCTCGCTTGATCTGCGGCGAGGGTCACCATATGGTACCGGGATGGGTGCAGCCGGAGAAAGTGGTGTTTCCTACGGATCTAATGCGCTCGAGCCGCGTGGTGTACGGCGAGGTCTTGGATATGCTGTATGCCAGCAATACCATCTCGCTATTTGGCGCTGATATAGCGCGTTATTTTTGCCGCAACGCGAGCCCGGAGGGCTTAAGTAGGGTGCGCTTTGTGCACGTGGCGCTTGTCATGCCGTCGCATGGTTGGGACTCGTCTTCGCAAATGAAGAACGTCCGCGGAGCTATGCGAATGTTGAAAGATGCTCTCCCGAGTCTTCAACAACTCGATGTTGAGGTGGCCTTAACATATGGCCAGCCGAAGAATCCAGAGCGATTCTGGGATTGGCTGAGGGAAGATGTCCTTGGGCAATTCCGTGGGTTAGAACGGTTTGTGCTGAAGGTATCTGTGTATAAGCCTTTGAGACCTAACCGATCTAGAGGCTTCGAGGGATCGACACCACAATATGAACCTCTGAGCTCGTGGGATGACGGCGAGTATCAAGTTCTGAAAGATGGAGCCTTGTTATCGACCGAGGCGGCTTCATTCTAAGTTCCCGTACGTCTAGTCTACGTGAAATGCGACGGTTATGTGGCTATCTTGAAAGATAGCGAGGTCTCCTGTGTGATTTATAGTAAAGATTTGGTGTCCTAGTGTCGTAATTGAGGTTTATGAAACAAGCAGGAATTCATTACCTAACATATCATGTAATTCGTAAATATTGCAAAAGGATTCAACCCATCTTCTCCACTCGCGAAGAAACCATATTCGCCAAATATTTTCCAAAGCTTTTCTACCTAGTAGATAAGACTTCACGTAGTTAACCATATTTCAACCACCGTGGTATATACCCCGTTGATGTCGTCGTTATCATCACCATCACCACCACCATTACCATTAACATTATCATCGTCATCGTCATAATTGTCACCATATTGTGTTTGAAACATCATGGCGCTGTTCGTAATAAGCCGTGAGCTTAGTATTTTCGCGAATACCTCCTCCCGTCGCCCGACCTTCGCACGTCCCTTCCGTCTGCGTAGTAAGCTGCGGGTGGAGCACGAGGACTCCTACTGCGATGGCGGTCGGCGTAGGCGGGTCTCGTGACGCTCACGACCGAGGTGCGCCGCGGGCTACGGTGGGAGTGGCGCGAGTGCGATCGATGACGGTGTCCGTGTATCTCCCGGGGGTACCGTGTCGAGCCGCCGTAATAGTGGGTATGCGGCGGCTTCTCATTATCAGGCTCGAAGGTGTTTCCCCACGCTCCGGGATTGCGCCAGTTTATACAGGACCGGATGATCCAGAGTAGGAAAAGGAAGCCGATGATTGATCCGATGACAATTCCAGCAATTGCTCCACCCGACAGGTTATTTGTTGGCCCGCCGGTACTAGTTGTCACGACCGTTGTAGTTCCCTGCTGTCGGGCGGAGAGAACTCTGGTGACAACATTCGGTAGCGTTCTTGTTGGTTTAATGTTTTTAAGCTCGTGGACTAAAACTCGGCCGGCGGGTAAACCCTCGAGCATCGAAGTGGGTAAAATTGGAGGCATGATAAATACTAGGTAACCTAGGTAGTAGTAGGCTAGGTAGTAGGCTAGGTAGGTAGTTCTCGAAATTTGATGACTTCAAGGTTATAATAGTAGGAGTCTTAAGGCTAGAAGGGTGACTTAGAGTTCGACAAGTGCGAGGACTAATAAGATCAGTAAGACATGAGTCGAGAGTATGTACATTGGAAGGTGTGGCAAGTTGAGGACATCTCGATATTTGTATAACGTGACGATAACATGGACTACGAACGATGACGACATGGCGTTTTACCCGATATGCTAGTTGGGATGCCATCCGTTACTTCCCAGTATACCCCATCCTTGTCTCCCTCCTACCCTCTTCCGAGACTGGGGGTATTTGGTGTATGGCAGGTAACATTTTTATTTCTTGGAAGGGTCGTTGGATTCTTCTTTTTCCTTGTTCGTTAGCGTCTGCGGCAAAGGGAAAGCAGTGAACGTCATATTCGCATAATGCTATGAGCTAACCTCGCATAATGCATGCGATAGTCCGCGGTACTGAGAACCTTGAAGTTAAAATGACCGCAAGGAGCCCGAAAATTAATTCTCTTTCTGGCCACTACGGCTAACAAGTTTACTCATGATAACATAGTCGGGGATAAACTCCTTGCCAAATCGGAGCTTTCTCGGCTCTGGCGATATCTCATCTTTCTCAAAACCCGCTTTCTTATAGAAGGCAAGAGCGCGCTCATTAGACAAATAACAGGTAAGCATTACCTTCTCTATAGGAGGCGTGTTCACTGCCACGTTTTCGAGGAACCCTATGAGCATCCTGCCTAAACCAGCCCTGCAGAATAGAAATTAGCGACGCAATCAATAGTTAACATCGTAGACAGCAAATTAATATACCCTTGTAACTCTGGTTTGAGATGAATCTCGTAGCAGTACACGACCGGTTCCCCTTCCTCATAAGTTGGCATTAAAGAGGTGAAGCCGCGTATTATTCCTGTACTATCTTTCACGATGATATATCTTAACTCGGGGGACTTCATCTCGGTGAGCTTCTTGTCTGGCTTCCACCCGATTAAAGAGGACTCATAGTCAGCGCGGCTAGTTTCTTCGACTAATCTAAAGCAGGCTTCAAGATCCTCAGTAGTCAGATTACCTGACTGGATGAGATCAAGAGAGTGCCTTTCTTCCGTTTTCGGATTGATCCACCCAGTCCATGTCGGAGTGCTACTTCCTATGTCAGTGAACATTTTGCCAACTCGATCACACCCGGAAGATATACCTAGGACAGAAGTGTTCCCTAATGAAGGTCTCGTCATCTTTTAGGTTTGCTCTCTCGATGGGGTCTGTAGCAGCACGCCTACGCTTCACGCTCTGCTTAAGAGTCTTCATTGCGATCTTATGTGAGCAGGGCCTAGGTACGATGAATGAAAATCATTAAAGTCTGCGTTTATGATCATTATGCCACGGGGGTTTTGGGCTTTAGGCTTTCTGCGACTATTAATGAGCATTCATCTATAGTTAATATAACCCATACGTCTTACAAATGTAGAAGCAGTTACCTACTACCTAGGTAGGTATGTGGTATGCATAAGTTGAGGAATGGGACTTAAACTAGAACTTAGAACATTTTGAAGTTTCAATGCCCGAGTTTTAGGAGGGTTATTATCTCGGGAAAAATAAGGAAGGGTTCCCGATTAGGCCTAACAAATTACTAAAGTAGGAAATTTTTTTTAAGCGGGGTTTGTGGTAAAGCGCTCGCAACCGTATAGCTTTCAATCGCCCATTTTACCCACTCGTCGCAGACCCACTTATCTGAAGCTTTCAACCAATCAAATCGTATAAAGGGCTTATATAATTACTATTAATTCAATCATGCCGGTTCAACAGTTAATTTAACAATCAACCTTTAATTTAGGATTTAAATTAGTTTAAAAATTAGTTTAAAAATTAGTTCAAAAATTAATTTAATAATTAATTAATTAATTTTTAATTTAAAACTTAAATTAGTTTAAAAGTTAATTTAATAATTAATTAATTAATTTTTAATTTAATTTTTAATTTAAATTAAAAATTAATTAAAAAATCGGTTTAATAATTAATATAATAATTAATAAATTAATTCGTAAATTGATTTTTAATTTAATTTTTAAGTTAATTAAATAATTAATTAATTAATTTTTTAATTAATTATTTAATTAATTTAAAAAAATAAATTTAACGATTAATTAAATTAATTTTTATAATAATTTAATAATTAATAATTTAATTTTTAAATTAAAAATTAAATTAATAATTTAATTAATTTAATAATTAATTAATTAATTTATAAATTAATTTTTAATTTAATTTTTATATTAAATATTCGATTAATTAATTAATTAATTAAATAATTAATTAATTAATTTTTAATTTAATTATAAAATTAATTATTTAATTAATTTAAAAATTAATTTAAAAATTAATAAATTAATTAATAAATTTAATTTAACGATAAATTAAATAAGTTTTAAATTTAATGTTTAATTTAATTTTTTAATTAATTTAATAATAAATAAATCGATTAATAAATTAATTTTTCGATTAATTATTTAATTAATTTAAAAATTAATTTAATAATTAATCGAATTAATTTAAAAATTAAATTAATTATTTAATTAATAAAACAGTTAATTAATTAATAAATAAATTAATTTAATAATTAATTAAATAATTAATTTTAAATTTAATTTTTAAATTAATTTTTCGATTAATTTTTCGATTAATTTAAATAATAATTT